TTACTACAAAGTAATATTTTCTATATATCTAATTTTACAAAGATTTTTACTTCTCTTATAACAAATTCATCATATTTTAAATTTTTTCTTTTTGTTATATATATTTATTGACACTGTTCATTCAGAATATAGTAATCTGATATGTGAGGTCAAAAACTTGAGAGATTCCCATTTTTTCATAGAGAATGTCTAATATTTCATTATCATACACTGATTTTATGTCTACAAAAATTGCTGGAAGTTATTTGTTGTTAGTAAAAGCAACATTTATATCACTTACTAGGTTACCTATATATTCAATAGTTGAACATCCTTTTCTGAAGCCAAACTGCAATTTAGGTAAAATTTTATTTATTTATTTTTGAGCCAATGAACTAGTCTGGTTTTAATCAATTTTTCTAGAGTTTTGAAGACAGAAGAAGCTAGAAAAATTGCTCTATATGAATCTGGATATTCTTCATCTTGATTTGGCTTTAGAATTGGGATTGCTGAATATTCCTTCCTGCTTGTGAGAAATTCTGCCCCATTCCATATTGTATTTATTATTTTTTTCATCTGATTAGGATGTGGATAACTTCAAAAAAATATTAAAATATATCTCACATTTGTTATTTTTTGTATTTGCCATACTTTTCTATATTCTCCTATTTATAATTGAATTTCTCAGTATTCTTGAAGTTATTTTTTATAAATCTTTTCTATGATCTGAAGTTGATTTCATATTCCTAAATCCAGTTTTATCTTCTAGGTCTCAATATCCTTTCTTCTTCTTTTTTACACAATATTCTTTGTAATTAACTAATTGAAATTGTAATACTCAATTTGACCAGTAGTTTTCAGAGGTTTTTCATTTTTGCTGCATCCTTTGTGTTTTGTTGAATTACATTAATTATGTTAGTTGTTATCATCAAATCATTTCATACAGCTCTTAACATCCTGTAGACAATTTTGAAATACTTTGGTCAGCTGTTTTATGACTATTTTACTTTTATAAGTAGTTACTTATTAGTTCTAGATGACTATTTGCTGGTCTTCTTGCAGTTTTCAACATTTAAGAATTTTCCCTTACAAAAAATGGTAAAATCAAAAATTACCTGAATTAGATAAGTAATATCTATAAAAAGATTTGAACAAAGAAAGCCATATTTAAACTTAATCTTGGAAAAGTTGTGTGAAATTCCAAGAACACACCTGACTGATTTTAAAATCCAATTGTGAACTTATCATTTAACTTTATCTATGCAAAATGTACCATTAATGTATGTGGTTTTAGTTGTTTATGACCAGTGCTATGCAACCTGAAAGCATAATGAAGTCTTCATCAATACCGCTTGATTTAATTACATAGGATATGATTTTTAAATGTAAAAAAATTAAAACAATATAATACATTTTTATTCAGAGTTCATATATATTGTACTTATTCTATAACTCTTTATTTCTGATGTTTACTTTGCAACTGCACCAACAATGTTAAACTTAAATGTTACCTCATATCATTGCTGTCACGATAATTCCTAGTTAAGGAGGATTTTGTGAATTTCATAGCAGCAATCAGACTTTTTATGTAGATGAGGCAGAATTGAATTTTAAAATGATTCTAAAATGTAAAATGAACAAATAAAGAATGACAACTATTTGTAGCAACATGGAAACCATGGTAACAGGAAAATCTAAAATGTAAATATTCTTCCTGTGTTTGAAGAGACACCAAAAACATTCACTGTAGTTGCTGAATGGTTCACTAACTAGTTTGTCTGCAATGTTAAATCATTTTTAATATGAGAAATCTCTTATTAAAGGTAGTCAGCAATTTTAGTTTATTCCAACTAAAGGATCTAGAATAAAATCTCCATCGAGGTCATATTAAATAAAAATGTAAATGGTTACTTATTCTAGAATGCAAAACTCAAAAGCATAAGGAATAGATAAGTAGACAACAATATTCAATTGAATATCATAACCTCACTACATCCTTATGACTAATTAAAAAACAGAGGTGTAGGAGAGCCAAGGGCTTGAAGCCAGGGACAATTGTAAGTCTTGAAGAAATATTTTCTTTGAGAAGGCTGCACACTTCTGGTGATTATGGTTATGTCTTTGTATATTTTTATTCAGCTATTTTTCAATAGAAATAGCTTGGACAAGATTTTCTCCGAAAAATTCCCGTGAGGTCATATTTCTTAGATTTTTGTGTCCAATAAAGTCTTCATTCCAGGATTTATGAATTTTTTGAGCGAAAATTAATGCCTATTTCAGCATCAACCATTTAGTCATTCTGTTTTTATATTGTTTTAATTCTGTCCTATTTTCTCACCGATTGAGTAGATATTCTGTTGCTAATTCAAATGCCACGATTTTTGTCTTTTTCATCAATATTCTCATATTATAATTCTAACGTACTAGGTATGGTTTTCTGATCCTAAAGAGTTTTAGAATCTTTTAAAGGATTCATTATAATGTAAACACCATATTTATTTTCAATGTCTAGTGTGGATTTAGGTTTAGCTTAAAGAGATGAAGTTCAAGGTTTTAACTTCTCTCCAGTCATCCTTATCCATTGCCTTCTTCCACCAAGCTTGCATATATAGATGATATATATTGATGAATATATGAGAGCTTGCTCTCATATATTCATCAATGTTATTAAGGAACCTTGTTCCGAGTCTTCCTCTTCTTCTCTAACCAATAGGTATATCAAGGAGTGTTTTTATTGTTGGGGCATTTTGTTCCATCCGCATTATATGCCATATCCACCAGAGACATCCTATCTGAATATGTTTTACAATATTTGCTGATCATTTACACATTGAATACATTATATACAATTATTATTACACATTTTTTTGACATTTCATTCCACATTTTAAGACATAATGTTTATTTAAGTATATATACAATAAAATCTGGTTTAACTGCAACTGTGTCAACAAACAGGGTAACAATACCTGCAGAATTTTCCTATATTAATTAAGGATGGTTAAAGTGACAAAGTTGTGGGTGGTTTGCAAAATATCTATCTTTAATTGATGTTTCGCTAATTGCCATGCGCAGTTAATTATTGTTTGATAAATAATTGCTGCCTTGTGTTGTGATTTTGTTTCATGGTTTGTATTGTCACTGGGTTAATCTTTGTGGTGTCACTAAAGTGGAAAGTTAAAGAAAACATAGCAGTAGTTTTAATAGTGCAAGGTGGGGTATAAGTAATCTTGGATTATTATGAATTTAGAAAACACATATAAGTATAAGAAGTATTTTTATTACATCAAAAATCAAACAATAGTACCATAATTATTATATTATGAATATTTACATATACATAATATATTATGAATATTTTGCAAAAGAATATGTTCTGTAGAACTCATATGAGTTTTATAAATTTAAGTCCTATTTCAGTATGTACATGTTAATCTGTGTAATTGTCATTCTCTAGCATGTGTGAAAATTTCAACTGTACTTATCACAAATGGTGCTTTCTTCCTACTACTACTTCCTACTCATTAAATTAATCTCAGTAACATAGATATTTATCATGTTTGTAACAGTTCACATTCATTTTCAGCTTTTATATTGTTATGGGCCATAGGTGCCATTGCTGATCTTGCCATCATCATTCATATTCATGCTTATTTCTACATCACTATTAAGTATGTATCAAAAATATGGAGGAGATTGACAAAATCACTATCTGATAACACTCATATTATGACAAAAAGAAAAAAATATCATCAAGATCCTTCGTAGTAGATTAATTTCTTATGCTGAAAACATTATATAGATAGATAAGCTAGTTTTAGCTCAAACCAAGTCAGTTTTAGTTCAAATAGATTGACAATAAATCATACCGAGAAAGCTTCTAGAGAAAGGATGGGAATTTGGGAGACCCATACATAAGCTTATGTTGAATGTTTCAGATATCTTGTAGGAATAATTACGGCTGATATTTAAGTCACTGAAGGATTGGTGCTGCTAATTATAAAATCGAAAAAGATTTGCAGTATTAAATGGATGCGATAACATGAACAATGAAGAAAGTGAAGAAAATCTCACAATTTGAAAGGTATAACCACAAATCAGTATAGAATAAAAACAAATATAGAAATATAAGAATTTATAGTGATAAGGATATTGACCAGGAGATTAAATCCTACTACTAAGGTGGGCAGAGCACGTACATAGCCTCCTCAACAAAAAACTTATAAAAATGGTTTGTAAGGAGGTTTTCACAGGAAAAGTCACTTAGAATGCCATAAAAAGATCAGATCTCCTAAAAATTAATGTCCCCTTTAACTAGAGGTTGATGGAAAACCAACCTAATTGGAAAACAGTTGTAGTTAATCAAAACGTACCCAGAATGATGATCAAATAACAACATATTTGTTTGTTATTGAAAATTTAATGTATTAGTTTGTTTACTCTTTGTAATGTTTTATATCACACTAATTTATTTATAATCGATAAACAATATTCTTACATAAATAGTACTGGAATTATTATGTTTCTAATCAGACTACAACATTTCTTTTATTTACAGGTATCTGAAAAAGACGAACTACCACATGTAATATGCTTCAGTTGTTCAGAACAAATCGAGTACTTATACAAATTCAACGAATTAGCCAAAAAAACTGAGGGCATATTACATCAATTTTTGGTGTACACCAAAGAATTGCAGGGATCTGATGAGGTAAGATCGCATGGTAAATTTAAGAGATAGGTGGTCTAATAATTGTTGTCGTTTTCATTACTTATTCAAAAATAAAAGAAGCAATATAAACATGTCACATCCATTAGATGTCAAAAATAGAGGAACAAGCTGAATATATTTACATCAAATATCATTGTTGACTGATATGTACTGAATAAAAACAACATCATTTAGTTATGTACATAGGTATTTATTAATATATACAAAAAATCCATACAAAATATCATATAGCTAATACTAAAATTTCTATGCATTATTACGATTTTTTACAAAAAAATTAATAAACCGGTTATATGTGCTGTGTTTGCACTGGAAAGTAGCTTACTTGAGCAGAAAATGGGTAGTTTTTAAACGCGATTGACTTTCTGTATCTCAATACACCTATTACAGCTGCAATTACTGTTACCACTAAGATCGCTGAGCTTAATATTATCATTACGACTCGGATTTTGTTAAAATGTTGGGTTATTATGGACGTATGCGATTGTCGTTCCTGAAACACATAAAAAGTTTAGTTAGGATACATTATTTTCCAGCTTTATAGGTTTTAGTATGTTTTGTCATGACTGTCGACTGTGATAATGGCAATAAAGTATCAGTTCAAACGTAGTAGTGAATGAAAATGCCAAAATTTATTAATTGAGTTTTGAATTAATGTCTAATTCAGTCTCTCAGGATGGATTGACAATGTTTGCTCTGTTTCTTCTTTTTCAACAAAATCTTTTCTTCACGTGATTTCAAAAAAAATACATAAGTTATATAGCTTGGCATACAAAATTTTTCACTTATGACAAAGTAAGTGATTTGAAGAAGCGTTTAATCTTATTTTCAAAACAAGATAACTTCTTTTTATATACTTTTAGCACATTAATAGGGAAAAAACTTTGCCAAACATAGTAAGAATTAAATTGTGGACCATTTTGCATGAATTAGGCTTCGGTTGAGGGAAACATGATAGAACAATATGTGCATTTAGTTAATTAAAGTATTAGAGGAACCATTACTTAGCAGTAACTAAAAAAAAGCTTTTAAATCAGTTAGTAAGCAAAGAAGTAAAGGAAGAAGTAAAACTTTAAAAAATAGTTCTTATAACTGCGAACCTGTTACTTGTTACACACGTGTACGATGCGTTGCATGTGTAGTAATGGTCCGAGCTTTTTTTTAAATGGCCACCAAAAAAGTCCAATGGATGCAAATCTGGTTAATGTGCAGGCCATTCAGTACTATAGTGACCCAGTTACGATATATTACCCGATACCCTTTTTATTTAAGGCTTTAGAGATGAAGGCCACTCTTCTTTGGAAGTTGAAAGTTGAGAATGATTATAATTACACGTTATGCCCCCCTGAAAATAAAAATTTAAGTGTTCGAGCGGTGTTTTTACACTCATAACAAAATCTGGGTGGAAAGATTTCGGTGGCCCACATAATATTAAACCAAACTATTGAATGCATTTATGAGAAATATGAAAAACCTAATTATTAAGTTTTCTTTTGTATTTGTCGTATAAATAATACTTACCGGGTTACATATATCGCTCGTTAATGAATAAATTCTTTCACTAACATCGTCGTTTCCTACATCTTTGCACATAGGGCCGTTTCGATTTCTGGTTATAGATTTTGGAAGATCTTGCGATATATTGTACAAACTGCAACTGCACACCAAAGGATTCAAGTTTGCTTTGAATATCTTTAGTTTGGACCACTTCATCAAGCCCGGATCTAAATCAACTAGGGAATTGTTGCTTATGTCTAACTAAAATCGTAAAGTGTATTGTTATTTATATTGTTACAATGAGTTTCAATATAATTGTGTTTATCTTGAACTTTGACAGACTTTTCGTCAAAATCACATTGAATTTCAAAACAAAAGCTTTGGCATGGCCACCAAAAACAGAGGCAGTGTAAACATTATTGTTTAGTGCTTGATAGACCTCATGTAGTACAGACAAAATAGCATCGCTGGTACATTTATTAGATAAAAAGCCGAACTGACTTTGTGATAACATAAGTGGGTCTTTTATAAGTCTCTCAATAATTTTTGATAGGACCGATAATAAGGCAATAGGTCTATAGTTGCAGACATTAGATTTTTCACCACCCTTATGAAGAGGAATAGTAATGGCTGTCTTTAGGTACTCTGGAAATATACCTTTTTCAAAGGAATCGTTAATTGGCGAGACTAGGGCTTCAACACATTTTTTGGGAGATTTAAGAAAATTTTCATGGATAGTCCATCAGTACTACATAATTACTAATTACATGTGTAATTACTACATAAAACTTCGTTAATGTGTAATTAGATTTTCAGGATTTGGAAGAGAAAATGTTTGAGCTGTGTTAGTTTTATTTCGAAGATCGTTTATTATGGACCAAGTTTCTCTTGCAACGTTTTTAGAGTTCCTCAGACAATTCTGATAGTACATTTTTTTTTAGCTGTTTTGATAAATTTTAGATAGGTTTCTCTGTACTTCATAGGAGATATCGAGCCCTTCCAGGAAAAACATCGTAACCAACAATTTTTCGAATTTTTTATTTTTCATCCAAAGTGATCCTAACAACAAGATTTTTCACTGACCAAAACATTGTAAGCCGAACGAACACGGTTTTGAATTTAAAAATAAAAATGCATTTTATCGTTACCAACACAAGTCGTTACCAGTGAAAGGTAAAATATCGTAACCGTACGTATAAAAAATATACGTATAAAAAATTTTTTAAGCAATAGTGCATATGAACGTGTTAAGAAGTAGATTAATAGTAATATACTGCATAGCTCTACAAAAATCAGAAGACAAAATATCAGCAAACATGTGGATTATTCATCATCTTCATCTTCACCATCATTGCCTGATGCTGTAGCTACATCAAACACAAAATCTTGTTTAAATACTTATGTCGGTCCACTAAATAGTTATCTTGAACATTCAGAAATGTCATGGAATTCAAAAATGAAACAAGATAGTAGCTCTGATAGAATCTTAAAAGTATGCAACCCAATGAAGATCTTTTAGTGATAGGGCAAAGAGGAATCCGAAAGCAAAAGCCACGTCCGAAAAAGGTTTCGAGGAGAATTGAAAAATGTATAGGAAAAAATAAAGCAGTACAACCCAAGCAGTCTTAATAAAAAATGCTGTAATAAAAAATAAGTGAAGAAAATAGAATTGTGATTTTTGAAAACTGTTGGGGTATGGCAAGCTCACAACGGCAAAGAGATTGGATCTTATTCTGTATGGTGGAAACCCCAATTAAACAAAAAAAGGCTGGGTCTTTGCGAAGATCAAAAACCATTGAATATATTCCATATAACAATGGAAAAGCAAAAGTTTTTGCCAACAATTTTTAATTAAAACGCTTAATATTTCCCAAATGACGCTACGATATACGAAAGAAAATGCCCTAACCAATAACATGGCTAAACACGACCAAAGGGGGAAAAGAAGCCCCAAAAATAAATTTCTTTCTAATTAAATCTCTTTGGTAAAGAAATACATTAAACAACTACCGGTTATTCCTTCGCGTTACTGTAGGAACAAAAACAATAAATTATAACTTCCAGTCGAGTTTGAGAACGTTACAAATTTGTATCGGTTATACAAAAACTATTTTTTTCATTTTTTTTTGTTTTTATATTGGTTTTCATCTGTCAACGAAAGACAAATGCAATCTTTGTGAGAAGATTTAAGTATTTAAACAAGAGGAAGAAAAGAAGATAGAATCCTACAATCAACACGTTAAAGATAAAGAAAAGTGCCTTGAAATTTTTTCGAAAGACCAAAATCTGTCAAAAGAAAGATATGTGCTGTGTGTCAGCTTTGATCTGGAGATACATTTTATGAGAGCGGTTCTGCAAATGTTTATTGTTACTTGTGGGATGAATCCGATGCAGCAAGAGGCTGCAACGAAATTTGTACAATAGTATAGATGTATTTAAAAAAGAATTGAAGCCACACATGAAAAAATTAAGCAATATTGCGACAGCTGTTTTGGACAGAATCGTAACAAAGCAAAGCTAGCTATGCTATCCTACTTCATCGAAAAAAGTGCATTTATAAAGAATATAAAAATAACATTTCTGGACATACAATGATGCCCGCAGACTCTTTGCACAGTAGCATTGAACTTTTCAGCCCTGGTAAAACCGTGTGGTCTTCAAGAGAATGGCCAACGGTTATACTCAATTCAAGAACGAATCGTTTTAACTATGTTACTGAGTCATTGGATTTTTCTAATTTTTTAAATTTGAAAAGTTTTGTTCAAACATTAATACCAAACAAATTCAAAATCAACATAAGTAAACTTTGGATAGCCATGTTTAATAAAGATAACCCACAACAGCTCTACAATACTCGACTTAAAATTTCGCCAGCTAAGTAACTAGATCTTAAAAACTCTCTGTTAAAGGCACTATCCCAGCAGAGTTTAAAGATGACTTCCTTTTATTACACCCTTGTTGTGATATTACAGACTGCTTGATGGAAACAGAGGATACAAGTGACGTTGATTTTTGATTATATCTAATATTTTTTAATAAATGTATAATTTAAATAATTTTAATATTTTTCATTGATTCTCACCAAATAAAACACAATTAAAATGAATCCTAATCAACGTTAATGCTTGAAAAATTGAACACACGAAACATCGTAACCATGTCGACAAAAAGCGTGACACTTATGCGAAAAACTTGAAAAACCAAACATCGTAAATACCAGTTCGATTACAAAAGTAAAACATACAACATAATTACTTTTGTCATTTGTATAACACACTACCAAATAATATAATATAAAATATTTTACTTTCAATACTAATTGGTACGAATATTAATTAAAAAAAATCTCTTCCTGTAAAATTTCACTTTTGCTGGTTACGATGTTTTTCCTGAAAGGGCTCGATATATTCACTGACAAAGACGTTGGTAGTAAATTTCTTAATGTACAGTAGTTAACGCATGATATCTTTGGTAGTCTAGGGTTTGTGATGTTTTGACTTGATTGTAATTAAAGAAAATGACATTAAAAATACAATCTTATCTAAAAAATCACTGAAATTGTAGTCCACGTCCACAGAGGGAAAGTGTCACCCAGAAGTCAAGCATAAATTTTGGAATTTATGAAAGTTCTGAGCAGCAAAAATCCTTTGGATTTTCGAGGACTGTTTGTTCTTCTTCTTAACGTGCCCTATCAAGTCCCCTTGACGTTGGCGATTAACATGGCGAAACTTTCTCTGTCTCGAGCTATTCTAAAGAATTGCTCAGCTTTCCTTATTTCCGTCCACTCCCTGATATTCTTCAACCAAGAGGCCTGCTTTCTACCAATTCCTCTGCGTCCTTCGATTTTCCCATCATAATAAGTTGAAGAATATTATATCGGTCTCCCCTCACTACGTGTCCAAAATAGGCCATCTTTCTACATTTGATGTTATCAAGCAGCTCGCGAGCAGCATTTGCTCTTTTAAGGACTGCCACATTTGTCAGCATAGCCGTCCATGGAATTTTTAGTATACGTCTGTGCAGCCACATTTTAAAGGCCTCCAGACGGTTAATGGTGGATATTTTTAATGTCCATGCTTCGACACCGTATAAGAGGACTGACCAAATGTAGCATTTAACCATGCGCTTTCGAAGTTGAAGTTGCAAGTTATCATTACAGAAGAATGACCTCATTTTTAAAAATGTCGTGCAGGCTATCTCGATTCTACATTTTATCTCTTGATCTGGATCTAGTTGTTCAGTAATATGGCAACCAAGATATTTAAAACTGGACATTCTTTGAATTATATGACCATCAACATATAATCGTGCATCTTGATGTGCTAAACGGCTAAACACCATGTGTTTTGTTTTTGAACAGTTTATGTTTAGGCCAAACTCTCTTCCCACTGTATCAATGGCATTTAAAAGGCATTGTAGTCCATTCATGTCATCACTTATAATAACTGTCTGTTTGTTAAGACTGTTTGTTAAGAGTGTTAAATTTGGCATGTTACTGCTTGTGAGTGTTACTGCTTCATGATCAGAAAGTCCTGCATTAATAATTGTAGAGCGTACATCAAGGGGTGAGAAATCTGAGACAATATAATTAATTATGGTAGATGTTGTTGTCTAATGCTTCTTATTCCTAGCTAGGATTAAGAAGAAAGATTCTTAATATTGATGTGGAAAAAGATTAGGAATAAAAGTATCTCTAGCTACAGGGAGAAAAATAACATTTACAACACTAAGAGAAGTTCTAGGGTAGTGAAAACTAGATAAGTCAAAAAATGGTGGATGACAACATTCCTTAATTTAGTAGGGGCCGGTTGCTCGAACGCTAATCAAAACTTGATTGTAATCAAATATTTAATTAAAATCAAATACGTTATATTTTGAGGTTATGTTGACTGACTTATTTTATTCAATTTTATTATTTTGGGTTTTAATTTAAAATATACCATAATTAAACTCTTTCTGACGTTAATTTCATGTTTTTATTTACAAATCAATAATAATAATCAATTTTTAATAATTTTGACAGCTGCTGTGGCGTATTTGCTTGTAATTAAATATTTGATTACAATCAAGTTTTGATTACGTTCGAACAACCGGCCCTAGATGTTGCAACCGCTTATTTTTAATTGAAAATTTTACATCATGAGTTAACAATAGATGGAAGGAATCACCGACAACTGATTCATTTCGATTAACCGTTGTTCTAATGCAGTTATTGGTTTATTACTCAAATTGGCGTTACAAAAAATAAACATTAAAACAAATTAGGAAACTATCCATATTTAGACATTACACATCTCCCGATAGCTTGGAGCATTGACACGCCTAAGAATGATAAGTGATTACTCAACTATCTAATAATTGGTAATTATAGGCAAGCATTTCTTTTGTCCACCTACACCATTGTCGGTTTATGTGCGAAAATAATTAGATACTAATAAAATGTTAGATTTTATTCTTAAATACGAGGTACAGTCTTTATATTAAATGCCCAAAAGACATCTTTTATTTTCAAAAATTCCAATTTATAGTATACGTGGCATGTTCCAAAAGTTTTCCATGTTCGTTGGTAATATCGCGCCAAAACGTTCCAGCGCCCCCATGGGCGGCTTTTATTTTCAGGAACTTGTACACTGTGTTTACGTAACTTGGAACCATATGGGAAATTTTTTTATTATTAATTTTGTGAAAAAAGTTATTCTTCATAAAAAACTCCGTTGCATGGTCTAATTGCTGAAGATGAAACCTTCAGATTTCAAATTTTCAGAACGAACTTAGAAAGAGAGGTGAAACTTCGAAAACAATGAAATCAGGACATATATTTTATCAAATTGGCCCTGAAACTACATCAGTTGGAGGCATCAGTTTCTTTGTCCTTAAAAACCTCGCGAACAAGATAATGAACATCCAAAGTATATCATCTAGAATAGGCATACCAATACCATAAAATAAGAGAAGCTAAAGAAAAAGAAGCTGTAGAGAAATGTAAAGAAATAGAAAGACTACAAGCCAAGCATGACAATTTTAATGTACACAAAAAGGTAAAAGAAATAACGGATACTTTTCAAAAGCGAACACAAATGAAACTCATAGACACCAATGTGACCATTTTCAGAGAGGATGACGGGCCCGGACATACTTAAATCCGAGGTAGAAGAAGCAATAAAACGGATGAAAAGCAGGAAAGCTGTAGGGCCTGATAATATCGAAGCTGCATTTTTAAAACCCTTGGAGGAAGAAGGAATAAATTGGATCACGGCTGTCTTCAGTAAAATATACAATACAGGAATAATCCCTGATAAATGGCTAGAATCAGAATTCATAGCGATACCTAGAAAACAGGGGGCTAAAAAGTGAGAAGAATATAGAACAATCAGCCTAATGAGCCACATGTTGAAACTGTTTCTTAGAATCATCCATGGAAGAATTTATAAGAAGTGCGAGGAACAAATATCGGACAGACAGTTCGGCTTCATTAACGCAGTGGGTACCAGAGAGGCACTTTTCGGAGTACAGGTACTGATTCAAAGATGCAGGGACGTTAACTGCGACGTATACGCGTGCTTGATCGACTATGAAAAGGCATTTGACAGAGTTCAACATCAAAAGATGATAAGCATTTTAAAAGAGGCAGACCTAGATGACAAAGACCTCAGAATAATTTCAGAACTCTGTAGAGACAGAGTTCTGAGTTCACAGACTCGCCATAGTCTATTTAGTATTTTAATAGTGAATCCGTGAATCCCAATTACAACTTTAATTTATATGGTGTTTTTACCCTAAATATAGAATTGCATTCATATTTCTACTTACCTCATCGATAATTTGATTTTCCCCAAAAGCTTCTTTATCGATAAATTCCAATTGTTGATTGTCACGCAAATGTAATTTTTTCAGTCCTCTTAAAGTTGCGAAAGTGTTAGCTCCGACAAATTTTAGTCTGGGCAAGTTATTTAAGTACAATTCGGATAAATTCATTCCTAAAATTATCATAAGTTAGTCTCACAGCTCTGTTCTTATTCAAAATTGTTCGATAACGGCTTAACCTAACACAAAAATGGCGCAATTTAGAAGATCTTTTTTTGCTATTCTGTACAATCATTTTTTAAGAAGATATGGCATTACGTTCAGTGTTAGTAAACTTAGAATTTTTTTTCATTATTTCGATATCGATAGAAATTTTTAACAAAATTTCATCATTTTTAGATTTATGAGGATTTTGGTAGAAAATATTGTTCCGAATGTTCTGGCAAAACCCCAGATTCATGTAAACTATGTATTGACATAGAAAAAATATGTATTAAATCTTAATTAGTAAAATCTTCCTATGTTTTTGTCTTTTGTCGGATATACCACAGTATGTTTTCGATTTTATAACGAAAAGTGCGAGCAGGGACATGAGAACTTTTTAAATTGAATGGAGGCACTTATCAATTAAGGTATTGCTAATTTAATATCTATCTATCTATACAAAAGGCTAGGATGACAAGTCACAATGTTTGTCCAGTAAGGTAACTACGCCATCTAGGAAAGAAATCTGAACTACCCACATCTGATATTTCAATTATATTTTGTTCTTTAAACGATACAGTTGATTGATTGCTAATGATTGATTGATAATTCTACAAATTGATGATTCAAATATCCTTACTCTTACTACCTTACTACTTAATATAGGTTACTGTAATTGTAAGGTACGATTTTTATTAAGCAAAATACCTTTTGAGCTTTTTGTAGTGGGGGTAGAATAATTAGTGAGAGCGTGACGTATAATACATCATTGGAAAGGAGAGAGGTTAGCGAAGATATTCAGGAAGAAACAAACACACATTGCGGCATTGCTAAGAGGGCATTACGTCATATCTCCTCAATTCTTAAGATGCCATTGCAAGGAGATTGATATTTATTTGGATTTGGATTTATCCGAGTGATTCTAGATATATCTAATGTAAAAATAAAAAATAGTACATTTTAAACTTTGGTATCAATAACACTACCTATATTTACATTTTATTTGCTTTCTTTTCCTTATTAAGAATCTACTACAGAATTATTGTCCAAAATATATAACTAACCATCGAGAACTTCATATATCTGGTACGGCGATAAAAATCATATTTATTTTTACTCCAAATTGGCAACAATTATTTATTTGAACAGCATAATATATTATTAACTGGATAAATCTAGAAGACAACGAAATATTGACAAATATGTAGCTTTATCCACTATTCTTAGAAAATTCTAACTCTATCCGGGTAATTCTAGTATTATCCGATATTTGCGTTTTAACCGTAACATATATACATAATTTACTTACCCAGGAAACTTTCATCGGTCAGCTGGAATATGTAGTTATTGCTCAAGTTAAGGATCTGCAGATTTTTACTGATATAACTCAATGGTTTTGGTACAAAATCAAAGTGATTAGAAGATAAGTCCAGGTTTTGCAAGCTGTGTACGTTCCTCATTACGTTTTCTTCTATTACTGTCAATTCATTGTCAGCTAAATTTAGAACCTAAAATGTAGAACATTTATCAACAAATTTTTATCTTCTCCAATATGAATAAAAATAGAAAGAAGTTCTTTATCAGTTGGAAATTTTAATCCAGTGGACAAACCATCACTAAGCCTCTGACGAGCATTTATGGCCTGTTTGTCTTATCTAGTTATTGCAACATTTTCCACAATTTGTCTCTTGTTACGTTTGGCAAGTTGCAGAGCACAGAGAAAATTAAACAGATCGCGGACGAGCGGCATGCCCTATACAAAGCTCGAACACCACGAAAACGACTAAAATCTAGGAAAAGCTTCCTTGGAACAGTGCAGGATGAACCACCTAAATAATTTCCACTTCCCCAGGTTCAATGGACCGGCCAGACCCTAGACTTTAAAACGTGGAAAACTATGAATAGGATAAGAACGGGGGTGGCTACAGTAAAATCAAACATGGCAAAATGGGGAAAAATAGACCAAAATGATGTGAACTGTGACTGTGAGACTGAGAAACACAGTATATGAAACATTTTCTTACATGCAGAATCTGTCCTCATCAATGTACCCTTGAAGATTTTTGGCTCTCCAACAAAGATGAAACCGACGTAGCCCGAAACTGGGCCGAAATTTTATGAATGACATGTCCGGACACGATAAAGTAAAGTAAAGTAAGTTGAGAACGATTTCCGAAGTGAAAATTAAAACGTCGATAAACTTACTTTAACCTTTAATTGTGGCTTATTCCCATTTAAATAGTAATTACTTTAAAATGCCACAAGAAAATGGCTTCAGAACAATATTAACTATAAATATATATATAAACCGTTATGGGTCCAGCTTTATTCAAAATTTTCTGGGATTGAAAATTCTTTACAAGAAACTGGCACATTGTCAAAATTCAATCATATTTTTACGAAGATGTAGAGACAACAACTTAATACCAAAGGGCTTGAAGTTCTTTTTCTTGATGTACCTATCCGTTACGAATGTTGGCGATCATCATGGCAATCTTTATCTTATCTGCAGTAGTGTGGAAAACCTGAACCAGATTTTGAGGTTATTTAACCAAGATGTTCTTCTTTTTTCTGGACCTCGGTTTCCAAATATTTTTCCTTGCAGGATGGCTTGCAGGAAAGCATATCTGGATTCATTTCGCATAATATGTCCGAGGATTGTAACTTTCGAGATTTGACGGTGGCAGCACCTCTCGGTTCTTATTCCTTTTTCTGAGGACCTCAACACCATTCATTCAACACCATAAAAAAGAACAGACAAAACGTAGCATCGCAGCATTCTTACTTTTGTATCAAGAGAGAGGTTGTGACTCTTGAAGAAGACTCCCATCCGAAAAGAAGGTGGATCTAGCTTTTCCGATGCGTGCTCTAATCTCCTGGTTGTTGGTCCATTCTTCATTAATTATGTTGCCGAGGTACTTGTAGCGCGTTACTCTTTCTACAGGAGATTCGTTGTCGTAGAGTTGAGCTTCTTTTATAATTTTCTTGTTAATTATCATAAGCTTTTGGCTTCTTAACGTTTATATTGAGTCCATATTGTTGACTGTAATACGTGATTTTGCTCATAAGAACTTGTAGGTCTTCTAAGTTGTCCACAAATACTATGGTGTCATCTGCAGATCTGATGTTGTTGGCTTGAAGTTACGTCCAGCATATTCAAACAGAAGGTTGGAAAACATTTTACATAGAGCCAGTTTGTCCATGATCCGCGAAAGATTATAATTTCATAGATCTAATTTGTTTTTTATTTCTAAGAAACTTTGCAGCTTCTTAATAATATGTTTAACTGAAGAGATTATGTAGATATCTATACTATTGATTAATGAAAATTATTGCAATATTGGAGATAATGAAATTTCAAATAGTTCTGAAGTCTTTGTCACTGATTTATGACTTAAATTAAATTTGTGCTATAAATAATTTACAAGGAATGTATACCTAAACTATTTCGTTGTGTGCATGTACTTGTATATCGATGAAAATAACATGTGCAGGTGTTGAGTGATGTACGGGATAGGCTTCTGGTATTGGTTTTTTTTTTTGAGAATTGTGCTGTTGAGATTTTCCACTCTGTTCCGTTTTTTTTTATATTGAAAATTCGTCAGGTAGTGCTATATAATGCTATATAATGCTATGTAATGCTACATAACCGAAGACATACTGACACCGTATGACATTAGATATTTTGGTTTACCTTTATATTCGTTAAAGATCCTAAAGCAACTTGTGTGGATGGATCCAAAACGGTGAAATCGTTGCCTTGTAGGTAGAGATCTTCTAGTGAAGGCATATTTTCGAAAAACTTCGGATGTAGACTGTGGATCTGATTGTAGGCTAAATTCAAAGCTTTTACTGCGATCGGACGATATTGTTTATTGCTGTAGGGACCTCTGAAGTCGTCTCCAGAGATTTCTTCGGCTAAAATTAAAAAAGGACATTTAGTAAACAAAAGTGTATGTTGTAATCGCTTCAAAAATTTCAAGTTATTTTTCAAAGTTAATTTTACTACACTATTTTGCTCTACACATATGTGTAATTAAAAATTCCTGTTACAAAGAGAATAAAACATCCATTTAAATTAAAAATAAATCAATAGAAAATAACATAGTGTTTACAAAAGCTGATAAAGGTAACACTACTATTGCTATAGATAAAATAGAATATAATAACAAAACAATAGAATTCTTAAATAATCAAAATATTGAAACTTTACACAAAGATCCGACAGAAAAACATCAAAAACAAATTAAGCTAACGTTAGAAAATTCAAAATCAATAGTAAGTCCAACAGAACAGAAATACCTCAATAACATGAATCCACAGCCGCCCAAATTATACTCTTCTATAAAACTACACAAACCGGATCATCCAATAAGACCTGTAATTTCTTTTTATACAGCTCCGTCAAATAAACTTTCACAAAAACTCTTAGAGATTATTTTAAAACACACTCAATTTTCACCTAAATTTACCATAAAAATACAATAGAACTAGTTAAAAAATATACAATTTTCACAATTACCTAACAACTCCAGATTAATTTCATTTGATGTAAAAAATCTTTTTCCTAGTATTCCTCCCACAGAAATTTTTATTCTAGTAAAAAATCTTGTAGACCATAATACTACAAATTCAATCTTACATCTGAAATTGTACATCTTCTTGAAATTTTCATAAACCAGGACTACTTTGAATTTAATAATCAAATATATACAAATAACAGTGCAGGACTTATAATGGGCAATCCTCTAAGCCTATTGTTATCAGATATTTTTATGGATCATCTAGAGACAAAGATTTCAAAACATCCCATATTCAAACAGTTTTTATATTGGTGGAGATACGTAGACGAAGTACTGGTATGTTTTACAGGAACTAACAGGCAACTCGACCAATTTTTATCGTATATTAATTTACTTTATAGTCATATTGAATTTACAATAGAAACAGACCAAAATCAATCCATAAATTTTTTAAATTTAAAAATTATCAGACTTAAAAACAAACATGACTTCTCCATATTTCATAAACCTACCAATACTGACACGACTATATAGAATTCATCATCCCATCCCATACAACATAAACGGGCAGCCTAATATGTTACAATGATTAACAGAAATTCCAATGTGAAAATACAACTTTGAGATAGAATTAAATATCATTAAGCAAATAGCAGTAAACAATGGATACAACGAACAAACAATTAATCAAATTTTAAATCAAAAACTACACAAGAAAGCCCTGAAATTAATATTTCCACCGCCGGAGAAAAAACCCAGTACCTTCTGCTCGATTACAAAGTTGCTTTGTTATAAGACAGTCGAAGAGCTTAGGGACTGCAGATGGTACACAAATGCTACGATAATTTTCAATGTTGTCTTTCTGACCATTTTTAAATATAGGAACAACATAGCTTTCTTTCCATGAAAAGGGAAACATAGAGGTTTCCAGAGATCTATTAAACAATATAACAAATGGCATTACAAGGATACAGACACACATTAAAAAAAAATAAGGCACTCCATCTGGGCAAGCAGTAAGCTTATTGGGCAGCTCATTTATGCTATTAAAAATATTGGTCATGGCAATCCTAGAAGGACAAATATTTGTACTAAAGTTGCTATTTCATGAATGGATAGGTACGTAAAGGTTGTTGTTGTTTGGTAAATACACAGTTTGAAAGAAGTTCGTAAATAAATTAGCTATGTCTTGACCATTCGTTGCAGATTGGACTTAATAAAATAAGGAGTTATATAGGTTATGACTAGATCGCTTATCATTGAGGTACTTTCAAAATGATTTTGGATCATTTTTTAGGCCAGTATCTATACCTTTGATATAGTTGCTAAAGCAAATTTAAGACAATTGTTTACATTCAGTTCTTAGATGGGAAAATCAAATATAGTCATCATCAGAACGATTATTAACATAAATATAGTGAGCATGTTTTTTCTCCAGAGTCAGTCTTCTAAGATCAGCAGAGAACCACGTGGGAAAAGTTGAAATTCATAGAATAATATCATTATAATTGTATACCTTGTAATAATTTATAAATTAGCATATCCATTTCATAAGCCCGAATTAAAGTCAAAACTATAATTTATTACGGAAACAAAAAAATTATTGCTGTAACCATACACTGGATGTATTAAAAGGTTTTTCAATTTTCAAGTGTTCGTGAAAAATCTTCGCTTGTCACACACTGGTCTAGATATTAGTACTTTCCCGGATATTTTCTGCAGGAGCCACTTGGAAAATGCTTTATCGAATTGTTGAAAGACGTGTTAAAAATATAGCAGATTAGGGACTCTTCACTAACGCACAAATAAATCTCACACATTCGACGTAACACGCAGCGCATGGGCAAATGACAAGCGAGTGATTTCCAGGGATTCCCCGAACACAGGTGCTATCGATATTGCATTATGCGTTTCCCTCAAGATGTATAGAGAGTTTCCGTGGAGTGAGTTAGGGTGGGGGTATTTCGAGAAACGCTCAAAAATGTTACGTGAATAATGGATAATTATGACAAAGATAATCCGCAACCAGGATAACCAGCACACGGATAATCAAGGTTCTACTGTAACTTTGATTAAAACCTATTGATTCATCAGATTGAAAATTCTTATGACACCTCCATCCATAGCTTACAACTTCCATGTTTATTTAGTTTGCTCCTGTTACCTTTCTATTCTTTGTTGTGAACACTTTCGTAAATTGTTATTTAGTCAATTCCATATATTAAATTTGTTATAAGTCCTCTTCCATACAACTGCTAGGGGTATATAGTTCATTTATATATTGTTGTTTATACTACACTACTCTTAAGACATTACTGCTAAAGAATTTGATATTAAATTATATTCAGGTCCCATTATTTTAGAATAAACTACAAATCTGTCATTCTTAGGCACGTCGGTGCATATTTCCCTCGAACAAATAGTCTTGTTGATCTAAATACCAGAGAAAGTTCAATTAACCAATAATTCCATTATCTTTTGCGTACCTGTTTATTATGTTAGTTTAAAACCGCATCCATTAGACAAAACGTTTCTTCGGAGCTGCAATCGTGCCCATAAATAGTTTAATTTGTGATATCGGAAACATACCTGCGCCCGAAGGTAATAATTTGTCGACTGTATTTAATAGCTATTATAACTAATTAGATAGTAAATCTATTGGAGCATTGTTCTTTCGTCTTGAGACTAACTAATTGCACTAAGAATTATTTTGACTGTAATAACCGTCGATTCAATACGAAATTGTGATTAATTTTGGCACAATTATCTCAAAAATTCAGCAATAGTGTGGAATCCCAGGTTGTCGAGCTTAAGAGTTAACTTGTGGGTGCGTGTGTGTGTGTAGAAAGAGAAGGACGGTATTAGACGAAGAATATTTTTGCCACAAACACTTTGTTATAAAATCTCTGAAATGTTGAATCGAGTTTATGTCTTACCGTAGGAATTGTTAGAAAATTCCTTCAAAAATAGTCAGATATTTAAACTCGTCGGTATACACTACTCAACAATTGAAGTGGATAATTTTAAAATTGCTAAAATTAGCATATAAAACTATTTTTAAAATAATTGCCTGTACTATACTCTATATGCTATCTTTATTGCCAAAATTTTTTGCATGTGGTTTTTTTCTCCCTATTCTTATCGGCCCTTATCTCGCACAAAGAGAGACATGTTGTTCCAAACATGAATATATCATTCGTATAAAAGTGCTGGTATTGGCTTTACCAGTTGTCAATAAGTCAAGAAATCTATTTATCACAAAAACATTATGCCGCAAAGACGGCAAATCGGTATGTAGCAAGTGGATCTTCAACATACAAGCATGGAGGAGGAAGAGAACGATCTACAACTCGTCGGCAAGACCGTTTTGTAGTTCTGACGGCAAGAAGAAACCCAACATTCACGGCTTACAGAATTAACAGTATCTTCAGGCATGCTACTGGATGAGCGATTTCCAGTCAAATTGTCAGAACACGGTTACATGCATCCAATTTAAGAGCTAGACGGCGCGCTACCCATCCACGGCTAACTAGGGAGCAGTGTGCATGCAGATATCGCTGGGTGATGGAACACTATCAGTGGAATTTCGAAAATTGGAGGAATTGTCTCTTTACTGACGAGTCCAGATTTCGTTTGTATACGAATGACGGCCGAATATTGGTGTGGAGGGAAAGAGGACAGCGTTACAATGAAAATCTGAGAGTTCCAACCACTCTTTTTGGAGATGGGCCCGTTTGCGTGTGGGGAGGCATATGTTTTGACGGTCGCACGGACTTAGTCGTCTTAATTAATGAGACAATGACTGCTACACGATATCGAGACATAGTCATAGTACGAAAAGTTGTTCCATTTTTTGGTGCAATAGGCAAACAATTTGTTCTGATTGATAATAATGCTCGCCCTCACCGTGCGAGAATTGTCAACGAGTGTATAGAAGCTCATGACATTACAAGAATGGAGTGGCCACCATATTCGCCTGATATGAATTGCATTGATCATATTTGGGCCGAAATGTCTAGCCAACAAAACAGGCCCTTTCAACCGCCCCAAACCTTAGATCAGTTGGCCAATACATACGCGCGATTTGGGAACGTATACCGCAGCAGTTCATCAATAATTTAATAACAGGTCTTCCAAATAGAGTTACAGTAGTAAGGCGACACAGAGATGGATTTTTCTATTTGACCTTATGAACAAAAAATAAAATACACATTTTCATAATATCCACTTCAATTGTTGAGAAGTGTATAAAAGAAATCATTGCGTGAACTGATTTATAATAGTTCTACATTCTTGACCATTCTATCAAGCATTAAATATATTTAATTAACTAAAACAAAACTTACTGGTCAATAGATTGTGACTCAGATCTATATATTCGACGTTTTCGATCAAAGAAAACACTCCGCCCTCCAAATACTTGATATGGCAATGATCAAAAACCAATTTAGCTGTGTGATTCGTGGCCGGAAGTCGTTCCAAAGTTGTGATGTTGTTATAGCTAAAAGTAGCGACAAGGGACTGGTTGTGGGGAGGCCAATTCGCCAAGACGTACTCAAAGTTTTGATTTGAACAGTCCAGAACAAACTCTTCCTTGCTGTTGCATTTGCATCGCGCACAAATGTTAGACGAGTTTTGGTAAGTTTCTTCGGCTGTTACGAAGTGTATGATGTACAGCAAAATCTGAAATAAAGAAAAGTTGGTAAATACATTGTTAAATTGTGTGTAATTTGTAGGCAAGAAATGTTATGTGTAACGTATTTACATATTATCGCTCAAAAGGATGGTACGAATTATACAGAAACAGGGATACACCAATTTTGCAATATAGCGATTTCAAATTTTTGATATTTGCGATGTTGCTAGATTTACCATTTTTCTAATATCATTAGTTACTTTGGTGTTTTAAATACAACATCCTATATCGTACATGGAGGCAGACGGAAGCAGCGGAAATATAGGAAGAGAGCATGTAAAAAGACGGCAAGACTGGTTCGATGGAGAATGTAGCAAGAAATAGCAGGGCAAAACCACAAAGAAATAAATAAAATACCCACAATACGATCGAACACTATGTGGCAAGAAGAAGGGAAGTAAAAATAATTTACAGAAAAAAGAAAAGAGAAGAGCTAGAAAAACAATTGAAAACATAGGAGCCTACATAAACAAAGAGGTAAAGAATTTTTACGAAGAAGTTAAGAAATCCAGAGAAACTACAAAGAATAATCTACAGTATTGCAGAAAGAAAGAAGGCTTACTTCTAGTTGAAACAACAGAAGGATTAAACAGATGGGCGGAATATTTCCAAGATCTATTAAATACAGACCAACAAGAGGAACTCAAGGGAAATAAGAGTTGTCTAGAAGATGAAGATGGGACGTGCGAGGAACCGACTTTGAATGAAGTTAAAGAAATAATAAGAGACCTAAAACAACAGTGCAGAAGAAAGTGCTATCCCAGCTGAGATTTTTAAGGAAAGTGGCTAAAGATTAAAGGAAAGGATGATATTTTACTTGACATTAATAATTTGGCAAAAGGAAGAAATGCCGAAACAATGGAATGGCGTTCTTATTTGTCCTATCTATAAAAAAAGGAGACAAAATGGACTGCCAAAACTATTGAGGTATAGCACTATTAGAAGTAATCTATAAAATGCAAAAATTATTGGAAAAGATTAATAAAATGTAATAATAAAGTGATTGGAGAATACCATGGAGGTTTTAGTCCAGGAAGAACAAGTACTGATGAAATAAGTACATATGTTAAATTTAATACAATATAAGACAGGCGATAAACGGCAATATATATATATATATAAATACGAATACTGGCGGGGAATAAATCATTCTTTGCCATTCAACATCTAATGAGGTCAAAGCTTCTCTCAAGGCGTGCCAAAATCCAAATGTACAAAACCATAATACGACCAGCAGTGACATATGGAAGTGAAACATGGACATTGAGAAAGAAAGAAATCAATAAGCTATTAGTATGGGAACGCAAAATCCTGCGAATTATATATGGTCCTTGCAGGGACAGCGTGACAAATGAATGGAGGAGCAGATACAACAATGAAATAGAGACTCTCTTCGGGAAAGGAAACATCGTAAGATACATAAAAGCCAATAGATTAAGATGGGCAGGCCACGTGGTACGGAGTGATGACGACAGACTGATTAGCAATGTGTTTTGGGAAAGACCAGATGGTAAAAGATCGACAGGAAGGCCTAGAAAAAGGTGGAAAGACGCTGTCAGGGAAGACCTGGAGAAGATGGAAGTAAGGCCATGGGAAATAATAGCACAGGATCGGAATCAATGGAAGGCAATAGTAAACGCGGCAAAAACTCACGAAGAGTTGTAAAAGCCAATGATGATGATGATAAACGGCAATATACAGAAAATGGAAGAAAATTTTCAAAGCAACAATATAAGACAGGCGTACAGATATCTACGCAGTTTAAGAGAAGGATACAAACCCCGAACAAATCTATGCAGAAATCAATAAATGCAAATAACCAGTGATCCAAAAGAAATAAAATCAGTCTGGAAAACCTATTTCCAAACTCTTTTAGGGACACAAGAAAATGAAGAGCATATGGACATGCATCACAATGAGGGAGACACCGAAAATATAGAACCCCCAACGATGGAAGAGGTAAAACAGGCAATACGAGCACAAGAGAACAATAAGGCTCCAGGTATTGACAACGTTCCCCTGAGCTATATAAATTAGGTGGCGATCACCTAGTAGGACAAATGCATATGCTCGTGAACAAAATTTGGAAGGATGAAAAGATCCCTAATAATTGGATCAAACATTGATTGGAAACAAATCTTAAATAAATAGAGGGAATACGACATTGACGTCCACAACATATTCATAGATTTCAAACATGCCTACGACTAAATTAATAGAAACAAGTTATATCAAATATTGCAGAGGTTTAATATCCCCCAAAATACATCTGACTGGTAAAAACAACAATGGATTCGTCAATAGCAACTGTCAGAGTCCAAAATGAGCTCACTGAAAACTTTACAATAGTCCGAGGATTAAAGCAAGGAGACGGGCTGGCACCGACACTATTCAACCTGACCTTGGAGTATGTGATAAAATAGCTGAATATAGGAAGAGGTAATCTCATAACAAATAAATCAATACAGATTGCCGCCTACGCCGATGATATCAGCATCATGTCTCGCAGAAATATATTCACAATTAAAAACAAAGAAAAAAGAGACCGGACTAGAAATAAATATTCAAAAGACAAAAAACACAGGCAAGAGCTAGTGGAAACAGACGCACAGTTTGTAGCATTTTCAGTTTCATTGATTCTTTTGAGTATATTGAAACCTCCTCGTATAATAAAATATATTAAAAACTCCTTATATATATTTAAAAAATAAAACGAGGAATTCTCCCGTGTTTGTTACTTCGTATCTTTCAAAGTACCCAAAAGTGTTTTGTCGCCGAGTAATAAAACCATTTGAGAGTTGTTTATTTTACTTCGGGAATTTCTTTTCAAGTTTATGCGTCGCAAAAGGATATGTACGCCGTTTCGTTGGTTTTGCTATGTCAGCGTTTGTATGTATGCGTTCAATTTTAATAGAATTTCTTCACTATCGTTGGAGCCGCGGTGAAAAGCGGTCAACGTTATGTCCGAATTTGACTTCAAATTCGAAATGTTCCTCGTTGTTTGTGTTTTTTTATGAAGACGTTTGTTCGTCTTTTTTTATGAAGAAAATGTGTAGCAGTGTGAAGTTAATGGTTCAGTAAATGTTTGAGTGAGGAATGGAAGAATCGTCGATTCCATCCTCGTTTTGTTTCTCCTTGGTTATCATCCAAGGCTTTTGGCAGTATGGAGATAGATTTGTTCGAGATATGAAGATATGAGGAATAGAAAGTTGTGTTCATTGCACAGAGAATAAAGCCCTCAGTTCCAGTTATGGTTTCGGATATTCCAGTGGCATCTGGTTCCACAAATTCTAGTGCATTTTGTTAGTGAAAATCCAGGTAACTTTTTGATCAAATTTTAAAGTAAAGACAGACAATTTGTTTTGAATTAAATAATTGCTTTCGTTGACATTTAAAATTGTAAATTTTTGGTTTTGAGTTGAGCTGTCAATTTATGTGTTTAGTTTTTTTGAAATTTAATGTTAATTTATGACAGCTCGTTTTATTATTTTTTGATTTTACTTTGTTTTGTTAAAAAAAAGGTTAACCTCCATGCAATTTTGTAAGTTTTGTAGCAACAAAGTTTGTAAGCGGATGACACATCCAAGTTTTTGTGTTTTGTTTTTTCTCCATGTAACTGTTTGTGGTGACACATAAATAAAGGTTAAATTTTGTTGTCTTAACTTTTTATTTATTTTTTTGAGCCAAACCTTTTTTGATTCTTGTTTGAAAAAGATATGTTTTTTATGTTTTGATTTTGTTTTCTAATTATTTCCCTAGTTACAACTAGTGGTTGTAATATGCATAATTAGGCACCTCAAGTGGCGCCCTATATTAAATTCCTTGAGGTGTTTCTTGTTTATTTTTATTTTGTTTATCCCAAGAGCTCTTTATTTCATTTTTTTGTAGTTGCCCTATTCCAATGCCCTTATCTTTTACTTACCCACGACCCCAGCTGTCCTACCAAACCCTGAGTGGTGGCGTTCGCACAAGTAGCGTTTATTTTGCTTGCCTTATCTCCACCCCCTTAGTTTCTTCCCCCAATTATCTACCCCTTATATTAATGCCCCCTGTGGTAGGCAAAATACTATCGTTACAAGTTGAATTAGAGGACGATATTGAAACGGTAGAAAGTTTGACATATTTAGGAGTTGCATTAAACACGGAACAGAAGAACCAGAAATCCAAAGAAGAATAGTAAAGTGAAACAAAGCTTATTTTTTACTCTGTCATGTGTTAAGCTCCAAAAACACACACCTTAGATCAAAAATCAGGGTTTACAAAACTATCATCAGACCAATAGTATGTTATGCATGCGAGACATGGGTGATGACAGAAGAGACAAAAAGAAAATCTGGAAGTCTTCGAAAGAAAAGTCCTAAGAAAGGTATTTGGACCTATTAACGAAAACGAAATATGGAGATCCAGGTACAACCATGAACTCTACCAACTGTTCAAAGAGACACCGATCTCAGAATTCGTTAAACTTCAGAGACTTCGCTGGGCTGGTCATGTAGTAAGAATGGAGACAGAAAGATTGCCGAAAAGAGCACTAGATAGTAAAATTCAGGGCGGAAGACCAAAAGGAAGGCCACGGAAAAGATGGCATGGAAAAGATGGAAAAGAGGATGAAGTGGCAGCGGACGCACAAAATTTGCTAGACGTGAGAACCTGGAGAAGATCGACGCGGAACCGACAGGGTTGGAGGCATAGTTTTTAGGAGGCCAAGGCCCGATTTGGGCTATACCGCCGTGTGAGAGAGATATATGACTCCCTAAATTGAACGATGCTATATGAGGTCATCAGAACATTATTAATACCAGAAAAGCTTATAAGTCTAGTGAGAATAGGGTAACAATGGAAGAAAGCTTTTCAAGACAGTTCACAGTGAATAGAGGTTTAAAACAAGGGGATCCGCTACCAACGGATGATGTGGTGATATTAGCGAGAACAAAAACACATTTAGAAAAAGTTTTCCAGAAATTTGAAGAAGAAGCGAAAAGATACGGATTGAGGCTGTCTTAGCAGTTGAAGCACACTGCGATTTGAAAAGGGCGTATCACTTAATTTTCTACACTGCTTACGCCAGATCATCTTTACTCAGTGGCGCCGGCCGACGGGTAGTTTAATGACAACAAATGCATTATTCTCCATTTAAATTAGTTTTAACACGAACTAACTGACCGTACGTTCATGAGATTTGACGTCACGAAGGCGATAACAGTGAAACTAATCGCCAATGATGAGTAACACGTTTCACTATTAGATTTTAGTATTTTTTTAGCAATTTTCTTCAAAGTTGGAAGACGCTTTTCTCTATTATAACTGGACACAGAAAGGTGAAAGTAAAACCGTCATTTTAAAGGCAACATAATTTCGAATAACGTGTCCAAATTTGGAGACATTTTGTCGGTAAATAACCGAGAAAACACTGTCCCTGGGTTTTGGTGCACCGATAAAACAGCCTTAATAATAAATAATAAACAAAATCGCAATATATGGAAATGAAAGGAGAAATAACAATAAAAAAATATCAAAATGAAAGGAGCAAAGACTGTCTATAGTTTTGAAAAAGTGTCATAAAGACGAACAAATAAAGATATAATGAGGCTATATGAAAAACCAGCAATTATGGCAAAAATACGAGCCCAAAGAGCTAGATGGCTTGGTCACATTATACGAATGCCAGAGAATCGAAATGTTAAAACAATACCGAAGGAGGGGAGAATACAGAAATAGGCGTGAGAAATTGGAGAAAGAGAAAGTAAGGGACCGAAAAAAATGTAGGGAAATAACCAAGTTTTTAGTAAGGGAAGTCTAGGGCTGACATCAATTGATGCCAAAATGAGATATCATAGACTAAGATGGTTAGAGCGTGTTTAATGGCGAAATGCTAACTCCCAATATTAAGAATTGTTGAATTGTAAGTGCCTGAACGGAATAGAAAAGGAAAACCTAGTAGGAAACACTTTTTTACGAAACTAAATGTCACAGGACATTTATTTGAGAGGGCATTAATGTTTTTATGATTCAATATAGAAAGTTTGGATAAATGTAATTAAGAAAGTTTAACCTAGTATGCTGGGTTTTACACGTAAGCACAGTTTTTTCTTTTTACTTTTTACGAAAACATAAAAAATTAGACAACTCATACTCTATGGAAATGAATCAGATATTTATTTGTGGATAATCTTAAGTGAAATGTAAACATTGCAAATCAATAGCGATACACTTGTTTCATAATAAAATATATATTTATATACACCCATTTCAAAATTCACCAAATATATTAATTTAGACCAGTTACAAAGTTGCAAATGCGATATACAATATCAATAGGGCGTTAAAATAAAACAAATAATTACTCACCATTAACCACTTTTCCATCTTTATTCACTTGTCTGGATTCGTTCGGTGTGTACATACATAGCAGGTAGATCTAATTAATATGTTATCTTATCAACCTTATCAAATTTAATACCAGAACTGCGAAATTATCAATATTATTTCATAGAAAGGTCGGAACACTAAATTTTATCGTAATCGGTATCAAAATAACGAATGAATGGTTAGTCCTATAGTTGAAGGAATCCTTTTTAAATAAGTTACACTTGGCATGATTTGTACACAAAATAAACAAATGGTATAAATATTAACCCATTTTTTTTTCTTAAGAATGTTTCATTCGATATCCCATGAATAAATTTGACAAAACTACTTTTTTGGTTGGTACGTTGAGACACTTGCTTTAAGGTTGATCTTCACCCACAATTAATTTGTTTCTGATCCTAGAGATGGCTCTACTGCGGCATGCTAATCTGGTTAATTTTTTAACTTAATTGTAGATTTCTACATGATGACTCTGTAATATTTTCAAACCCTAATATAAATTACAGTTTTCTATCATTATATCCATTGACTGAGTTGCCAAATTGTGTAGACAGTAATTTTATCAAATACGCTATAACTTTTACGCTTACTAGTAGACCGAGTTAGCAAAGATATCTTTAACAACATCTTTATGTATAATATTTTACTGTTCTGCTGTGTCAAAATAAACAAAGTTACGGTTTTGCAGGAACACAAGGTCTCATTCACACATATCATTGAAAAATGATCTATATTTATTATCTAAACATTTTTATCGCCAAAGAGGTACTTAGCGGCGCTATCTGTGTCTGTAGCGGTAGTATCGTATTACCATTAAATTTATACATGCATTCATATATTATTTTTTTGTTGATAGTTAAAAATTAAATTATCTGGTAATATTAAATATTTTAGTGCGAATTATATGAAAAATGGTCAATCGTCTAAAACATGCGAACATGTCTTCTTTTTATTACTGGTTTCACGTTTGTTATCTTCCTAATTAATGCGTCTTCTTCTCTTATTTGTATGTGCTCAAATTATCTCAGTCTTTGTGGATTAATAAATTTTACTATCTCTTCCCCTTTCTATCTCTTATTTCATGCTTCATTAGTCTTCTATATTCTCCGTGTTCAGGCCTTATTGGGCTGTTTATTCTTATAATTTTGCTTTTAATAATTCTTACTTTTTCTTTATCTTTTTTCGTAAGACATATTACTTTCGCTCCGTATGCTATCACTGGTCTAATTCCTGCTCTATATATTTTTGTCTTTGTTTTTTTGCTATCTTTAAGTAGTGGGTGATATTTCCAAATTACAACGTTCTTCTCTTGCCTTGTGTGCGTGGTAGTGTCATGCGTTAGATGTATGATTTGGGGTGGTTGATACGTATTTAGTTATCACGGTTATATTTGATCTAATTAGTTCTTCAGTTTCCGTATTCGACCACTTGTGCCAAATGTGATAAGTGGTATTGCGTATGTGTTTATTGCTTTTACTATGTGCTTTTAATTAAGTTTGCTTTGGAGTATTATTATTATTATTATTCAGATTTAGCCATACGGCCCACACTCCCTCTAAGGGGAAAATTCACTTATCCCAGATACCTACGATATCAAAAGGATTGAGCTCTGGTGGGACTCTTTCCATGTTATCGAGTCCTAGGTGACTTGGTACGTCGGTGTATCTCCTAAAAATTTTCGCACGCATCTGGACGTCGAAAGTAGCACAGCTTTCTGCATGACCTTATATAGATGTTCATTGAGACCCAGCTTTTTTATGTTTTCTAGGAGGTTCTTCGGAATGACTCCAGTGGTAGAAAGAATAATAGGTATCGTCTGGGTACTTTCCATTCTCCATTGTCTTTTTATTTGTATTTCCAGATATCTGTACTTGGCGATCTTTTCGTTGTACTTAACACTCAGATTATTGTTGTTAGGTATCGCCACATCGATTAGAGTTGTTTGTCTTGTTATTTTATTAACTAGCACGAGATCACATACACCCGCTCCTACACGATGGCAGCCTGAGGTACCCAAGCCCCAATGGCCACAGCCTTTCTTTAGGCAAAATCAAATGCCTTTGCAACAACAGCCATTCAACAATAGTCCAAGAGTGACATTTCAACCCCCTAGATTCCAACAAAATCAACAAATCACTTAATATGCACAAAATTCTACAACTAACCAACCCAATTTTCATAAACCATATCCATCTCAATCATATAAGCCAATACCTATTAGCGTATTTAGACGCCAAACCGGCAATAGACCCCAATCTCAAAGAAACTTCCGCTTTCAAAAGACAGCCAGGCCCCGATTCACGGTAGAAAAGCTCTTTAATATCGAACAACAAGAGCAATTATGACGAAGGTATATAGACACATACCCAGATTACTCTTACTATGAACAAAAAATTCATAAATATGAGGACAAAGATGTAAATTTTCAAAGATTTCAAAAAGAAAAAGAAGAAACTTAGTAGAATTGCATTCCTTTGCTGACAAAAGAGAGTTTCATTACATTAAAATTCAAAATCTCCCTCTTAAACTTCTTATTGTTACAAGAGCCACTAAATCTTTTCTTAATCCTGATATAACAAATAAATTCCCCAAAAATAATATTAAATATGAACCAGTTGCTACATCAATTTTTTTGAATCATTCAGAAGGTTATTGTGTAGAAATTCCAATTTTTTCCGAATTTAACTCAAATATTAACTTTTTTTATATTTGCAAAGCTTACAAGATATGTGATGGTCTTAATCTTAAGGCTTCTTAAAGCAAATCTCGATTCTACCCAAGCTACTCTTACTACAGCGCATTCTATTCTTCCTATTAATTACTATGCCACAAATAAAGCCCAATTCTATATAGTCCACCAAGAGCCCTAAAGAATTATACAAGTCAAATTTACAGTAAAAGAAACATCAGGTAAAATCGTCATCCAAAAACAAGAAGTCGAAGGTGCCATCCTAAGAGAAATTCTCACCGTCGCATATAATCAACTTGCCTGGACCGAGCTAGTCAATAACACCGATGAATATATTCAAGTAGCAATAACGGATCCCATCAAAAGTCAACCAATAAATCTAAGAGATGTCGATCCTTTCCTAAGAACCGATCATTTTAATACAATAGAAGAATATTACCGAAAACGACAGTACAGGAAGTTTGCATCATGCATATTTCATTATTCAGACGTCAGTTAACATTTACTAATCAAATAAAACATCATATACGAACAAGAGATGAAGTTCCGGTTTACACCAATCAAGATGATCGATCAAGAAATCATCAAACTGAGAAAATTGCCCTGGTCGTCCCCAATGTGGGTCATTCCAAAGCAACCAGATGCCCAAGAAAAATTAAATGGAGAATAGATGTCGACTACAGGAAGGTGAACAAGAAAACCATCGATGGTCTATACCCAATTCCAAATATAACAGACATTCTGGACAAACTAGGTCGCTGCAAATATTTTTCTACCCAGTTGTAGCCAGCGGATTACATCAAATTTAAATGAAGGAAGAAGATATTTGGAAGACTGCATAACTTAACGGAACTTAACTGGAAGAGTTAACGTTGAAAATGGCCACTATGAATGCCTGAGAATGTCATTCGGACTCAAAAATGCACCCTCAACATTTTAGAGAGTGGAGAACATAATAAAAAGACTTACAGACGAAATATATCTAGTCTACAGGGACATTTTCAACCTCACTTTAAGAACATATGGTAAATCTTAAGAAGATTTTTGAGAAATTAAGAGAAACAAGATTTAAAATACAAGTTGACAAATGTGAATTACTTAAGAATAACTAATGCTTATATTATAATATAAAAATTATCACTAATACGTTATGCAAGCAAGACTATTGTTTATAAATACTAAAATAATTAAGTAAAAACGCCTAAATAGGTTTTTAGAAACTAAATACGTTTTTTATAGATATATTACTTGTAGATGGAATAGTACAGTATCTACTATTCTGTAAGTTCTAGCATGCCAAATAAAATTCATTCAAACCGATAACATTCTTATTAAATCTTGTTGTAATTTGTCAAAGTGTTGTACAAAATAATTGATATGGCAACCCTGCTAGTATGACGATTCGCTTGAAGCGTTTCGAGGCCGAAAGTAATGCAATCTATCGATGATAAATACTACCAACGTTTGAGATGGAGCCACCTCTCTAGTATACAATTTGATGCCGGCAATTCAAGATATAATTATTGTTTAACGAGATTTTTCATATGTTTAGGAAAAAATATTCAACGTTTTATTGCAAATATATTCCACTTTTACAGTTTTATATATGTTGTTATTAAAATTTTTTCCGGTTTCTTACCGGTAGCTTTATTATAAGCCGGAACATAACATTTTTTCCCGTAGTGACAAAACTGTAAATTCAAAAATTTTCAAAAAATTCATAAGTATTTCTTAGGGTTATATCTTTATGCTGTAAAAAAAATTATCAAAATTGTATGTCTGGTTTTCCCGCTTTATACTTGGAAAAAAGTAGTTTTTTAGAGTTTTTTCGAAAACGAAAACATGAAGTTTGTTCAAACTTTGTCAAAATACTTTTAATTGTCACATATACCTTCTCAATTTTTTTCAAATTTTTTGAATTTGTAGTTTATTTTTTGGGGGGTGCAGATCAACCTTAAATTATTACAGTGTACGGTAATTCTCCTACAAGAATTACTAAAGCTACATCTACCAATTGATTATATTGTATCAGATTTTTTACCCCTTGATATACGCTCTACAATTATTAATGTAGGACTATCTGATCATGAAGCAGTACATACCAAGTTTAACACTCTTAAGAAACCATCCTCGAAAACCCAACGTTTAGGTAGGATTTTTTCCGCTCAGAACTTTCGTAAATTCCAAAATTCTCTGTGGACGTGGACTATAATATCAGTGACTTTTTATATAGGCTTGTCTATATTTTCAATAAGGCATTGCCCTTAATTACAATTAAGTCAGAACATCACAAACCCTGGACTACCAAAGGTATCCGCATATCGGCCAAGAACATGCGTTCACTACTGTTCATCAAGAAATATACTACCAATGTCTTTGCCACTAAATATATCTCTAAGTACATAATATCTAAAAAGTATCGAAAACTTATCAAAACAACTAAAAAATGTACTATTAAAATCGTCTGGGAAGCTCTAAAAATGTTGCATGAGAAACTTTGTCCATAATAAACGATCTTCGAAATAAAACTTACAACAGTTTCTCTTCCAAACCCTGAAAATTTAAATGAATACTTCTTTAATGTGAGTAAAAATATAACATCAACTATTTTGCAACAACAATTTTCTACCACCCCGATTCAAAAAAGGTCTCGAATTCATTCTTTATGTTCAGATTTATCAAGACTACTTTGATAAATCTGAACTGATCCAAGCAATCAGTAGTATCAAAAGCAAGTCTTCCTGTAGTACTTATGGACTATCTTTAAAAATTTTCTTAAATCTCCTAAAAAATAAGTTGGAAGTCCTGGTTTCACTAATTATTATTAGTGAAATAAGCACTAAACAATAATCTTTACGCTAGCACTGTTTTTGCTATGCCAAAGCTTTTGATTGTGTAAATCACGACGTTTTGACAAAAAAACTAAATTTCTACGGAATTTGAGGTATTTAATTAAAAGGTACTTAATTCGTAAACACCTACATGCTTTTCCAGCAAGACCTAATCATGACTACTCCACCAGAAATTCAACCTTTGATGTGTATTTACCGATCCCGTTCACCGAGTGATATATGATTGGCAGTTTGATATATATTTGCTTCCCCCTCCTTGGTATCAAGTTTATCGTAGACATCAGTACACAGACTTCTACTCCTGATACCTTCGCTTGCCTTTTAGCAACCATCTAGCTTTGAAGATCTGTGTCCAACCTATTTTTTGCCATTGTTTATATAATTTTCTTTTCCTTTATTTTATCTTGAACTTCATTTTGACGTCTTCTTATTTTTCAGCCTTAAGTAATCCAACTTTGGACATAGGCCTCCCCCAAATCAATCCAGTGTCTTCTATTTTGCACCACTTAGTTCCAGTTGTGTTCTCCGAATATTATAACATCATTTGACGTAGTAATATTCTAATTGGACGATTATTTTTATTGTTTCAGGAAAGAATGCACCAATCCGAAAAACTCCTAGAGAATTTAAGGTTATCTTTAACAATGACACCCCAAAATTTGAAGGTAGAAGCACCCGAAACACCTTCCAGCAATAACGAAGAAAATGGCCATCAAAAAGCACAACATTTAGCACCGCCAGAAATTAAATCTGAACCTGCTATATTCATGGAACAAACCTCGCAGACGTATAAACACATGGATACCGAACCAGTTATTACACCCAAAGTTGAAGTTGTCGAAAGAGTACCTTCTCCCCCTACACCACCTCAGGACCTATCGATGGATCTGTCTAAGGATAGTACAGAACCTGAGGAACCTTCTTTACGTGAGCCTTTAATAAAGGTAATAGTTTATTTTAATATAATTTTAATGTGAAATTTCTATATTATCTATCATATTTAATGAGAATAAACCAAAATTTTTATTTTCGGACGTTATTATGATACTGACGTAAAAGTTTTAATAAAATTAAATTGTCATATATTTCTTTCTAGAGAAATTTCTAAATTTTGAGTTACTTCGTGATACATATGTCACACTTGATACATACATCACTATACATGCACAAAAAATATTCAGAATTACTTTTAGAATCCTGAAATCTGTAAAATATACAGATCTTCCCTATATTATCGAAAAAGCAGAAGATCTGACAACACCGCAAACACGTAAACACGCAAATTTCATAATTCTTCTGTCGGCCAATTCTGAAATCATTCAAGCGTTCCCTACTTTTCCATCTAATAAATTAATTGTCAAATTTTTCTTTTTATATTGAGCGGCCGTTAATGGGTAATTACCACATAGATATTTTAAAGTTAATAATAAAGTCTATTTAATAAATATAATCCCAATAAATAGAACACACTACGCCTATGCACATATAAAATGTGGAACTAATAAACTAAAATATCATATTTTTCTCATTCTCATTCTTTCTAAGAACGTAAATATATATAGACCAGCAAAATATTGATAAGTTTACCAATGTTTCAAACTATTCAATGAACTTGTCTCACTATACACTCGTGAATCGCACTAATTTATATTGATACGGGGGCAAATTTTATGTGATACTCTTACTTTTTCACAATAAAAATGACCCCCATAAGAATTTACTCTGACATTTTACATACACTTCATCTAATTTACTTACCGATGCACGTCATCGGCGTCATAGCCCGTGACGTCACATGATACCAACACGAAATATTTAGGCGGTAGGTGTGTTCTTTTTTAGAATCACTTTGCCGAGTACACTGGCATTACAGCCACTAGACATATTTTATTATATACGCATAGAAATAATATTTAAAAATTTCTATTAATGTTAACTTAAAGAAATACACAATATGTTTTATTTAATTTGTATAAATGCATTATAAAGCGTTTTTATGAAGAACATTTGTTCGGAACACACTGTAACTGTAATCGAACGAACGTGAAATTTTGACATAAATTGTTAACACTTATTTGACAGTTGCGGTGTTGACACTTTTTGTATTTTATTATTTTTAGTTTTAAAATGAATATCTTTTGATTTATATTTTTATCTATTTAACAAAATCTGTTCTTTTTAGAACAAAATGAGTGTGTTTTATTTCAAAAATGTCACGTAAGAATTTAAATAGTCATTGTAAAGAGATGGTAATACTTTTGCAATAATGATGTGATCTATTTGATTTAAAATGGAGTCAGGATTTTTTTATACTTTGGCAACTATGTCAACTTCGATCTCTGACGTAAATAATGACGTGCATCGGTATCATGATATAAGGAAACAAGGTATGCTCACACGCATCTATTTTGAACAGCCAATCGCGTTTACGACCAAAATCCGCCATTTTGAAGGCGGCAATTCAAATATGTACAAAATTGATAAAAAATATCGTAGTTAAATAAAATAAAATTAATATTATACATTAATCCAATTAATTCAGATTTAAAATGATCTGAACAGACTCTTGCTAAAATAATTTTAAAAAAATCGAAACAAAACAAAAACAAATTTACTTTTAAATTCCAATACATTGCAAAGTAAGGTTAAAAAATGCAAAACACTTAGCTGGACGTAAACAAATCAGAGTTAATCCAATTAATTCAGATTTAAAATGATAACAGACTCTTGCTAAAATAATTTTTAAAAAATCAAAAAAAAAACAAAAACAAATTTACTTTTAAATTCCATTACATTGCAAAGTAAGGTTAAAAAATTCAAAACACTTAGCTGGACGTAAACAAAGCAGAGTTAATCCAATTAATTCAAATTTAAAATGATCTGAACAGACTCTTGCTAAAATAATTTTTAAAAAAATCGAAACAAAACAAAAACAAATTTACTTTTAAATTCCAATACATTGCAAAGTAAGGTTAAAAAATGCAAAACACTTAGATGGACGTAAAGAAAGCATACGTCACGCATGTGACTTATTGGAAAAATGGTGGATTTTGATCAGCGCAGCGATGTGCAAAAACGAGTCCACCTAGTGAGCATACCTTGTTTACTTATATCATGATCGATATGTAAATTAGATGAAGTATGGTCACCTTTAATTGAAAATTGTCCGACTATATCGTGATGCTATAAATATTTCAGGTAAAGCCAGCAAGCGTATTACAACAGTACCTCCCGGAAACACAAAATCTTCCTGAAATAACCACCGCACCCTTGGTTCATCAAGATTTCGGTCCGTTCGTGGACGCTGACAAATCCGTCCCTATCGAACCGACGGATTTATCAAACAAGAGGATGGAAAAAGTTACGTGCGTGCCCGAAATATCGTTTATTAAAGAAGAAGCCGACGCAGTATCCATTTCAAGCAATAGTTCAGATCCAGAACGATTGGAAGTGGACATGTCTCAGGTAATATATAGCTTTTTTTGTAATTTTATGTTCACTGTAAGTTCTACAAATACAAATTTAACACTTTTTTAAACTCACTTGTTTGCAACTTACCCAACTCATCCCCATCCTCATCGTCTGTAGATGGAATATATTCGTCTTCCGATGAAATATATTCATCATCACTATCTGATTGTGTTAAAAAGTATTCAAGTTCTTCTTCTGTTAACTTTTTAGGATTTTTGGAAAGGAAACAAGAAAAGTGACTACTGTGGCGTAACTTACGTTACTTGATGCTACTCTTAGATGCTGATGTAGCAAATAAACGCGCAAGTCTCGTGCTAATAAAATATCATACTATACATAGAAGTTTAAAGCACGGATCCGCGCCGTTAGCACCGAGGAATGAACGGCCTGGACGCGGATCCGCGCCTTATGCAATGAACATGTTAAGCAATTTTGTGGTAATTTTCAGATAAACGAAGAGCATAGCGACTCGACGTTAAGCGAAACCTCCCCTACCTCCGAATCTACCTTTAATCACAGCGACGTCGATCCGGCGGTGTTGCAGGCTCTCTCTCGAAACGGATATAATCCGCCTCTAAGCGGAGAGGCGAGCCAGCTCCTCAGGAAACTGATCACGTGTCGAAAATTGGGCATGACCATCACTCCAGCGCAACCTCACGTCCTCAACTATACGTTGTTCGATGAACAACAGAAATCCATAGAAAACACAAACGCGGAGAAAAGTAGACGGAAACAAAGTTATCCTTCGAAAGCATCCGTGTCAGAAAGCGTGCCTATGGATCAAGACGAGGAAGAGGAATACGGGCCCGATTTCACAGGAAATAGTCCGTGGTGTAATATGGTCAAGGGAAAGGTACGTAGATGAAATGTTCTGTCACAGTATACAATTCCCTGACGTTGAAAAGTGTTAATTTGATTGTCCTTTTATTTTATTTAGAGGGTGGAGGTACCAAAGCGTGTTGCTTTGTCCTGTACGAATTGCGGTACACAGACGACGACTATTTGGAGGCGGAATTTGAGAGGGGAGATGGTTTGTAACGCATGTGGCCTTTACTTCAAGTTGCATGGTATAGACCGGCCAGTCACTATGCGACGAGACACAATTCACACTAGACGCAGAAGGCCGAAAGCGGCAGAACGAGAAAAATCCGGTGGTAAGTTTTTCCTTTTTATATACTAAACATAACGGGATATTTGTTTAAAATTATGTAGCGAGCAGATAAAGTACTCTACATAAAATCATAAAATCAGTTGCACCTTGAATATAGTGACTGTATACTATATAGTGAGATATGTTACGTTAACTTAAAACGCTCGGTTCGTTTTATTTACAACTTTGTTTGATTGTACCGGGTGGTCCAATAAGCCGATCTCTCGGCTATATATCAGAAACTATTCATCTTATAATTTTAGGAGAAAAAATTCCTTAGTAAAAGTTGTAGCGTTTTATATTTAATATAGTTTCTGTTTAAATTTTTGTAGTACGCCCCTGGTTGTTTATACCAAGAGATTCTTAAATGCGTAATAACGCTGGAAATATTTTTTTGTCTCTGTTACATTGTCAGGTTAAAATTAGGGTTGCTAGAATAATCAATAACTACGTGTTATTTTTACCCAATTTAAAAGTAAATATACATGAGTCCCCTAATACTCCGGTTGAAAAAAAGGTTGTTTTGTTCGTTTCGAGTTTGTTAAGAACGAATATCAAGGGGGGTATTGTTTGTTTTAAGTTTGTAGGCAAAACAAGCTGCAAGACGAGAAAGGGAAAGTATTTGTGGCGTCGAATTTGTAGAATGTAACGCAGATAAGAGGGAGAAAAGATTTGAAACTAGGTAGACGTTTTTGCGGAAAAGAGTCAAACCAAATCAACCGAAAGATGTAGAATGCTGGGGCAATTTTGAATCAAAAAGTCGATTCAATTGTTTTTTTTTGTGATGTCTTAAGACCAGTCAAAGTGATGATACTCTTTGCAATGGCAGTTTTGACAGAGTAGTCATTAGAAGATTTGTATAGATACCGGAAACTTTTGAAAAGTATTGAATAGGATGTCCCCGTCGTCTGCTTTGTTACTCCAGCAAACCTGATTTGATCGTCGTTCCTGAGTATGGAAATGGTTTCCTGTTTTCCAGTTTGAGATTTTGTCCAAGTTAAGTGGCGGAATATGTGAAAAATAAGGGAAGAAGAATTTTTTCTTTCTCCCAGCAGGAAGTTTTCTTCAAAGCGGCGTCCAAATATAAATAGCTAGAGGTAAATTTGTCTGCCATATCTTGTTCGTTTTTGACCCGGGAGATTTATGTAAGTATCCCTTTGTTTTCATTTAGTAGATACCCCAATCCGACCCAAATTTATTTCAACTTATCCACGACCCAGCTCTCCAACAACCCTCTGAGTGCCGTACCCACTAGTTCTGATTATTTTGTTTGCCCAATCTTCTCCCCCGTGTTCTTACCCTAAAGTAAGCAAAATATATCGTTACAAAGTGGCCAAGAGAAATCGCTGGAAATATCTTTCAAGTTTCTGGGTTAACCGCTAGGGGGCGTAACCTGTGAAGAAAACTTTGAGAATCATTATTTTGATAATATGCCCAATTGTACCAAGTGTTAAATAAGTAAACTAGAAAAAGGCCTAAATTCTGCACAAAGTTGTTCAAGTACTTTTCTTTTTATTTATTTTTTTTTAATAAAGGGTGGGGAAAAGTAAGAAAGTATTTGTGGATAAATACCTATAACTTTGGTTTGGATCAACTGATTTTAACAAAATTATTGTCATTTGAAAGAATGTGGATAAATTAATGTACATCTACTATAAAATAATTGCATTTAGTTTTTATTGTCATGGGTAGAGGGTACTTTCGAATAGAAAAAATTAAAATTTGTTTTTCTTCAAAATGTTTAATGGAAACACCTATTTATTGTAAATTATAATGGAACTGGATTAAATTGGTAACAAAATGGCGCAAACCGCATGTTAATATGTACCTTTTGTTGAACTTGAGATATGAATAAAAACGCATAAACATAAGTATGTATAGTATTGACTCACCCTTTATTATAATTTAAAATTAAATTATGTGACAGATCATACAAATATCTCGATCATTAAAACTTAATGACCAATTAAATGTTCAAATTGTTTTCCATCGTTGTCCACACAAAGATGTAATCTTTCGCACGTAAACATAACAGCTGCTTCAATCTCAGCTGTTGATATACTATTTATTGCGTTTATAATGCGCTGTTTCATGTCGTCTCTCGTGGTTGGTCGAGTTTGGTACGCTAAGTCCTTCAACCATTCCCACAAATAAAAGTCCATACATGTTAAGTCTGGAGATCTAGCTGGCCATGAAAATATACTGCCCCTTCCAATCCATTTATTTGGATAACTTGCATACAAATAATCTCGAAATCGTCTGGAAAAGTGCGCAGGACACCTGTCATGTTGTAATATCATATCTCTTCTTGTTTGTAAGGAATTATCTTCCAATAAAACAGGCAACTGATTTTCCAGAAAATCCAAATATGTTTCGCCACTTAAAGTTCTATCAAAGAAATACGGACCTACGATCTTTCTATCAACTATACCACACCAAACATTAAGACTCCATCTACATTGAACCTGCACCTCATGTATCTAATGCGGATTTTCTTCAGCCCGATAATGCATATTATGCAGATTAACACCAACCGCACTATTAAACGGAGCCTCATCTGTCCACAAAATCTTTGACATGATATGCGGTTGTTCTTCTAGCAGATCTAACATCCAATTGCAGTAATCCAGCCTTGCATCAAAATCTCTCTCATGTAAAGTTTGGTGGAGAACTACATGATAAAGATGTAGTCTAAAAAACAGAACAACAAATATTGGTGAAAAAGAAACCACTATATTTACTAAAACTCAAAAAATCTTGAAAAATCCACAATTGTTTCACAAGATAAATCGGATATAAGTATTTTTAAGAAGCGGATAAAAGGATAAAAGCGCCGTGTTGCCGTTTTTATCGGAATATTGAATCTAAAGTTTGAAGGGAATTCCAAGTTTCTGACCTAAACGTTCACTTTACAATATGAAAAATCAACCTGTGATGTTTTAAAATCCACAGTAGTTTCGGGTATGTTTAATTCTATAGAGATTGCCGACTACTTATGTATATGTGGATTCTGTTGAATTAAAGCAAGAACACCTATTGAATTATCTTCGGTATTACCTCTACTACGTCGTTTAAAACAATTACGATGAAAACTACCAGTTTCTCTTAATCTTCTTGCCTTTTTTTCAAATACTTCTTTGCCATAATGTCTCCTGTCAGGTATCTTACAGAATATATACGTGAGGCAATAGCGGCATTTTGATGACATTCGAAATAAACTCCAATCATATCATACAATTCTGCATTTGATATACTCATCACGAATTATTAGTACTGATAATTAATTACTAATATTACCAATATTAATATATATTGAAAAAAGTGCATCTTCAATTCGAAATATAATATAACACTTCTTAACCATGTTTTGACTGCTGTCAATAAATAAACAATATGAACTACCCGTCAAATGCATTGTCGTAGCCTACTTAGTTTCGAAAAAAAACTATTTTTAATCATATTAAATAACAATGGTCAAAATAGGTATCAACATTAAGATTCTTCTGCTATAAAAAATTTAAAGTACCTACTAACTTATTTTTTAATTTAATTTATAATACAGGGTGAGTCAATACTATACTTATTTATGTTTATGCGTTTTTATTCATATCTCGAGTTAGACAAAAGCTATTAACATGCGGTTTGCGCCATTTTGTTACGAATTTAATCCAGGTCTTCATTAAACATTTTGAAGAAAAACGAATTTTAATTTTTTCTATTCGAAAGTACCCTCTACCTATGACAATTAAAACTAAATGCAATTATTTTATAGTAGATGTAAATTAATTCATCCACACTCTTTCTAATGACACTAATTTCGTTAAAATTGGTCAATCCCAACCAAAGTTATAGGTATTTATCCACAAATACTTTTCCACTCTCCCCCACCCTTTATTTGAAGAAATAAAAAAAGTACTTAATCAACTTTATGCGGAATTTAGGCCTCTTTCTAGTTTTATTATTTAACACTTGGTATAATTGGGCACATTTTATAAAAAACTGGTTTTCAAATTTTTCTTCACATGTTACGCCCCCTGGCAGTTAACCCAGAAAGTTATTTTCGGCGATTTCTCTTGGCAACTTTTACTAAAGAATTTTTTCTCCTAAAGTTATAACATGAATAGCTTCTGATATATAGCCGAGAGATCGGCTTATTGGACCACCCGGTACAATTGTCAAACTAGATTTAAAAACAAATTCCTTAACGAAAATCGTTTTATAGTCCATACCTCACTCTGCGCCTTGACGATACAGCCCTTGAAAGCCATCGGCCGCCTCACAATATATTGTAAGTCATCATGCACGCTGTATATCCATCTGAGCCGATCGTCGCTTCTGAAGAGCACTGAGGACATGACTCATTCACCGAGAACATTCAAAACATTTTAAATACCAATAATCACGTTACAATATTTTCCATTGGACTTTTCAATGTATCTGATAATGTTCTTTCTTTTTTAGATTACTCTCCTCTTGTTGGTAATTTTGTTAACCCCCCAGTGCACACATATAAAGCGTATAAAGCGAAAATTGTAAAAGGTAAGTAGAAATTATACCTTCTACTTTCTGAGTCATTAATAAAACGTGGAAAATCCGGAATTGAAGGGACCAAAAAAATCGATTTAACCAAACTTTGAATTATTTAAAGATTCTAAATTTGAATTTAAAAATTTATATTAATTTTCTAAGCCAGTTCAAAGTGTACCTTTAGTGCAATATGTACCAAAACTTGGTTTTTAGTTCTGTTCAACAAATCATCTTAATTTTTAAACACTTATGACTCATGGATTCATTAATTTCGTCTTCATCTCTATATCACATTGATATTTCTTAATGTCAATGTCTCCGTGAAATCTAGTATGAGAAAAAAAATCTGAGCTTTAGATGGATTAATACATAGCATCGCTTTTATACTATCAATGGTTTTGTTCTGGCTGGTTAGACGGAAGTAGTGGAGAAGTGAAAGATCGTTGAAGTCCATGACATTTTTTATTGATACTCTCATGGCAGTTCTCAATTTCAATGACTTCTCAGATAATTTGTTGTATAAAGAAACGAATGTGTACTATAGTGGAATTGTTATCAAATCAAGAAGATTATTATGCAAATTGATATGCATGTTTTGAAAAGTTTGATTCTCAATATTGTGTTCAGAAACGTCTCCTTCCCCTCCATAATTCTAAGAAATGGCCTTTCCAAACAACTTTTAAAGTGTGTACCATATATGGACACAGGCAATTTTAGTTCTCTGCAATGTGCACATATAATGAATACAGGTTTTATCAGCGTTTCAGCCATGTGTCCGTTTCTGGTACTTTACCGTGCATTTAAATAGGAATATTATTGAGTCTGGCGTAGAACTATGACATTTAAAATTGAATTGAATGTTAGTGAATGAAGGAATATTAGTAGCTGTCAATAAAACTATAATTTTTACTTCACATTTCAACCATTTATTTACCATCGTCGATCGAGAAGAATCAGACAAAGGGGCATTAGAAAACAATTCGATCCTGATATTTAAATCTAATTTGTCCAGTTGACAACCTTTCCAGTTTGCTGCTGCTACTATTTTTCTAGCAACTTTGTCTATCCATCCCTCCATTCTAAGTTTTGGCCTACCTCCAGCTTTTATTCTGCTTGCTAGATGTCCTGCCCACAACCAGATATCTGTTTGAATTTGCGGTATGTCTCCCGCCGTCGTAATATACCCGCATCAAATTATTAATGTGACAATCATTGTTAGTTTCAGCTTCCAAAGATCGTGGCGCCGCGGAAAGTTCGGACACAGACGACATGCTCAGCGCCTTGAGACGCCAACTTCGGCCTCACCTGGTGATGGCTCTACAAGGACACCGAAACAACTCGAACGAGAACATGAATCTAGACGGTAGTCCGAAGGTACCATCTCGCGCACATATACAGGTAATTCTTAATGGAGAAATTAAGCGACTCTTAGCTAAATGACAAAAACAAAAGTCCGGATTTTACATAATTGAAAGGTTTAAATTCAACGTGATTTGTAGTTTTTTCTACTTTTGTTTATGAATTAATCTTGACACGATTAGAAAAACAATTTTTACTAAACATGAACATATACACTCTTTGAATACATTATTTCATTAAAAAAAAGCTATAGGTGTTTCCTAATATATCCAATTATCTCGAATATCGATTTTTTTACTTTAACCGCAACTATCCTAAAGTCTATAGTGGGATAAGATGATCAAAAGTGCCTCGGCACCGATCAGCACCGCGACTTGTGCTTTTAATAAATCATATAAAAACATGACTTCATTCAAATTTTTAGCTTCCCATAAGCTATAGAACCACGTAAATCTGAAAAAGAAGCTTTTTTCGACTTTTTCTCTGAACGCAATTTTGCTTTAAAAAATCTGAAAAAATTCTTCAAGATGTATCTTTCAAATATAAAATATCCTGATTTTTTTTTTCAAATTTTTATATTGAAAATTGAGCCTAGGAAAAATCATTGAAATTTTCAATAATTTCTTAGGTTATGTTAATAATTTTAGCTAACTTTTAAATAGTAATTTTTATGTATTTTTTTTTTTTTTCGTTCTTTTGAATGACCAAGGTAGAATTTTCAATTACTGAGAGAAAAACCTCGAAAAATAAAAAAAAATCGTTTTTTTTTACTCATTTATTTGTACATAGCCTCAAAACTCATTTGGTAATTCAACATTTTTCAACATTTGTTCTTCCACATTATCAAATTCTATTGTAAAAGTCCCCATTTAACTCTTTCATAGAGATAACATTTGAAAATACCACGTTTTTTTATCCTTTTCGTACTTTTTTTTACCTTACCTCAAAATCAGATAGTTAAAAGATTATGGATATATGATGTTTTTCCATCATTTTCTTACGGGCTATGAATTATCATTGTTAAAATAATTATTTTTAACTTACAAATTACAATCTAGTAACTATATGATCGAATTTCAGCGTATTTTTGATCGCACCCTTCATGATACCTGTCATATCAGTAGGTTATGATTACGGTCACGGGGCTCTAGGCACAATGTATGGAGACTCGTTGTCAGTTGTCACTACTTATCACAGATTATAAGACAAGAAGATCGCCAACCTTAATGTTAAAAATTGTCGATACGATTTACAGCGCCCTCTACGGTAGAATTCTACACTAAATGCTAATAACTTTGTAACTTACCTTAACGAAGGCCAAAAAAAGAAGACAGAAATCTGTTAATGAGAAGCGGGAAATTCAAATTTATATGACGCGGGAAATTCAAAATTATTGTAGGAATTCTCTATAATTTAAAGGGACACTGTCAAGATAAATTGTAAAAATAAAAATATATCCGTCTGAACGTTTCAATCTATCACATTTTTAACAATACAAGTGTGTTGGTCGTGTTTGAAGTTAAATTCGTTAAATTGTTTAGAAATGAAATAAGCCGAAACGTTCGGATGCAAAGAATTTTATTTTTACCACCATCTTGAACAAGTCCTATTAAATTATAGGAATTAAAATTTAATGGTTACAAAACAAACCATTATTGCTGTAATTCATTTTACACATTTGCATAACATAATTTTAACAATGAGTAAATAAATCATAAAAATTCTATTTAGCAAATGTGAAGTTCATAGTTCATATGACAGAAGAAAGATAGAATAAGGTTGAATCTCACTCAAGCTAGGAAAAAAATAAAAATGTTCTATATAGTACAAGTGTTTTATTTATGGTGGTGGTGGAGATATAAAAACATAAAATACAAATAACAATGTCCAAAGAAAAATAACAATTTTAACTATAGTAATACAAACGTGAAAATATCAAAATTTATCTGACTCATTATTAACATACACAATATCATTATTGAAAAGAATATACATAGGTTATTGAAGAAGAATTATACATACATTTATATTTGCATAGGATGACACATATATTATATCGTCTTTGGATTTGGATCACAACACAGATTATAAGACAAGAATCACATTTATCACAATAAAAACGAGATTTGAATATTCAACAATCCGTTGGATGACATGCGGATGACAGATGACACTGTTTGTGTTTTTTAAAAATTACAGGTCACCATCAATCATTACCTGGAGTGACATCTGTGCTAGAAAATATTACTAAAAACGTTGTCGTTGACAAGACTATTCAAGTTAACCCCCCCTGCTACTTATCAAGATCATTGTTAGAACAGTAGTTTTGGAATATTGTGGATTATTGCAGAGTTTGTTAAAAAGTATGTTTAAATAAATGTATTAAACACAATGAAATAATATTATTTGGCGCAGTCTAGTGGAAATTAAACGAAAATCATGGAAGCCAGGTTACCAAATCCATTATTAATTGAAGGCAATGTGGCCGAAAATTTTAAACGATTTAAGCAAAGTTTTGAAATATATCTGATGGCATCAGGGAAAAGTGGTAAAAGTTATGAAGTTAAGGTAGCAATTTTACTCAATTTAATTGGAGAAGAAGGCATTGAGATTTATAACAGTTTGGAATTAACAGAGGTCTAACAAGGAAAGCTAGCAGATGTATTAGAAGCATTTGAGTCTTATGTCACTCCTAGAAAAAACGTGGTTTATGAAAGATATTTGTTTTATAAGCGCAGTCAAGAGAAGGAGAGCTTTTTGACCACTTTTTAACAGATTTAAAAAATAAAGTAAGAAATTGTGAGTTTAGTGTTGAAGCATTTTCAATGGTAAGAGATAGAATAGTATTAGGCACCAATAGTAAGGATGCACAACAAAGCATGTTAAAAACAATTAATTTAGATCTGACTAAAGCTATTGAAATATGTAAAATGCATGAAGTATCCCAAGATCAAATAAAAGAAGTTCAGAACAGCTTAGAGAAGGTGAAAATTGAATCAATTGGAAGTAAAGTCAAGCAGGGGCATAATTCAGTCCAAACAGTCAGGGGTGCAAGTTCTTCTAGAGGTGAATTTAACTGCTGAAACTGTGGGAGTGTCCATGGACCAAGGAGGTGCCCAGCATATGGAAAAAAGTGTAGAAAGTGTGGTAAATATGGGCATTTTAATAAAGTGTGTTATCATGGTAGGTTAGTAAGAGAGGTACAAGTGGAAGAAAGTGAAAATCATGAAGTAGACGATTTCATGATTTCATCAATCACTGTTAATGAAATTAAGAATAAACATAATAGAGACTGGATGGAAAATTTAAAAATTAATAACATTGATATACCTTTTAAAATAGATACAGGGGCACAGGTTAACATTTTACCCAAGGTTTTTGTTGAAAAAGTTTGCAAAATTAATGAATTAAAAGAAACTAAGGTCATACTTGAGACATATGGTGGTTTTAAGATCATTCCTTTGGATATAATAAAACTTGTCTGTAAATATAAAAATATTGATCATTTATTAGATTTTGTTGTTGTAAAGGAAAGATCAACACCTATCTTGGGTTTATGTTCTACCATAGAGCTTGATTTAATTAATAAAATTGATATCATAACACTGCATTCCAAAGAAAAATTTTTAGAAATGAATAAAGATGTTTTTTTAGGTTTAGGTAAATTTCAGAAAAATATAGTTTAAAGCTTAAAGAAAATGCAGTGCCAGTGGCTAGGCCACCTCGTAGAGTCCCACTTACAATCAAGCCTAAACTGAAGAATCAACTAATTGATCTTGAAAAGCGAGGAATCATAGCAAAGGTTGATGGTCCTACGCAGTGGCTTAGTAACCTGGTAATTATTGAGAAAACTGATAAATCATTACGTATGTGCCTAGAGCCCCGTGACTGTAATCATAACCTACTGATATGACATCTTTCCCCTTACATTTAATAATACCCACCCCAGGAAAAAAATTGCGAAAAGGATAAAAACGTGGTATTTTCGAATTTTATCTTTATGAAAGAGTTAAATTGGGATTTTTACAATAGAATTTGATAATGTGGAAAAAAAAATGTTGAATTGCCAACTAAGTTTTGAGGTTATGTGAAAATAAATTAATAAAAACCAATTTATTTGATGTTTCGATGCTTTCCGCTCAGAAATTGAAAATTCTGCCCTGGCCATTCAAAAGAACAAAAAAAAATACATAAAAAATTACTATTTAAAAGTTATAAAAAAATATTAATATCATATCATATATAATTAATATCAAACATCAAATATGATTAACAATTAACATTATGTACAATCTTTATAGTCTAGGCGGAACTTCCTATGGACATTTTCCATAGGAAGCTATTTTTTTGCGGGAATCCCTTCAGTATGTGCCCAATATCGATAATCACGATATGCGCCAGTTGCAAACCCTGTGCTAATATTTTTTTTTTAACAAAATCTGAAAACAATTGAAAATTTCTCATTTTTTTCTCCTATTTTCGTTTATAATTCGGAAAATATTGATTCTAGAGAAAAAATTATAAGAAGTTAAAAGTTTCGTTATTCAATTTTACACAATATTTCGTTAGCTAGAAATTGAAAATTTAATGTTTATTGTTTAAAAAATAGCAAATTGTTTAGCTTTTAACTAAAAATTATCCCGCTATAGCCTTTATGAGGGGCGTAAACTTAAATAATGGCTTATAATTTTTAATTACAGATACGTTAAAATTTAGCATTGTTATATTCCAGATTATTCTAGCTTTATCACACAGTGTGTGTACATTATCAAATATATATATACCTTAAATTTCAGGGTCCAACCGTACCAAATTTCTTGCCAATAGAGAAGATACCCGGCGGCGTGTCAGCGCGGGAAGCTGACTCCGACGAAGACAGCATAGCGGACCTACCGTTAAATCTTGTTTCCACGCAAATGACTGAGGGTGAACTAATTTAAAAGATGAATTTTTAATTTAAAAAACTTTTAGTTCGTACTAACAGTATCCAGTGATACCAACTCTACTTAATAGTATTAGATTTTTAATATTAACCGTAACGATTTTTTACCAAAATAGGATGACGGCAACAATCGTTTATATTCGGAATAGATTACTAGAAGGCAAAACATGACAAATTTCAATATATATAAATAATTTTTTTCGGGCTAAACACATCACATTATATTTAGTGGCCAAGTACGGCAAAAAATTTGCGTTAGTGGATTTAAACACATAAAATGTAGCAAAAACATATTTACCAACTAAAATTATATTTGAAGCTTAAAAGATAAAAGATTATTCAATGAAAATTATGAAAATTACATTTGGGGTAGCCCACTATGCAAGGTCAAATGTCATCTCGGTTGAACTATTCAGACACAATTTTTTATACGACTTTTAGATGCTGTCATCTCTAATTCCGCCGCAGGTGCAGAAACATGCCCAGTTTGCTGACTATCGAACACTATTAAACTGCTACAAATAAAATTATTCGGTATTAAATTCCTAAGAAAATACAACTCTACTTTCCATACTATATGTTCACCGTTCTATTTCACGTTTTCTACCACTAGAGTCAAAGCTCATCGCGAATATTAGGCATAGACATTGTTTGGAAAAGTGTTCAAGACTGATTTAAACATTTTATCTTTATTATTCAGAATATGACTTTATTTAGTTGAAAATTAAGTTTAAAAATATTGCCGAAGGACCGATTCAAAGTTAAATTGAAAAGAAACAAAATACAGTTAACTGAATCAAAGTTGTAATTATTTATCATCCGGCTCGAAGGACCAAATGTTTTGTATAAAACTTAAGAGGTCGCTGGTTAAATGATATTAAAATAATAATGGAGGAAAAATGCAATATTTTGACGGTAAATAAAAGTAGCGAAAATAGCAAATATTTGTAAATGGATATGTAAAACAAAATGTTGTAATTCAAATAACAATTGGCAGATTTAATAACTTATTGTCAATTCTATATGAGATTCACTTATCTTTTGTCTATGGTTGACCCCGTTCGGTTTTATGGGTAATTGAGACGCACACTTGATACTGGTTTGATGCTTGCATTCACGACGAGAAGTTGTTGCAAAGTGACCAATCATACGAAAAAAGATACGTGTGTACGAAAGTCGACTAGGGTGGTTCTCTTATTTTTAGGACCTCCGTGAATAGCAATAAATTAAGCTTAAAATGTCATTTTACACTTTCTACACAAAGGAAGTGTTTGGGCTGATAAATATTGCCCAAAAACATGTTGTTTTTTAGAGAAGTGAATTCTCAGAACTTGACAATAATTAATCAGCCAATTTGAGTTCGAGAATTTAAAACATGTGGAACTGAAGCTATATTATAGTTAGCTAATATATTATGATTAAATAAAAGATTTAAAACTAAATAAGGTCATCTTCTGAATAATAAAGATAAAATATTTAAATCAGTCTTGAACACTTTTGCAAACAGACATAATAAAAAGATTGTTGTTATATCTATGATAATAGTTTGGTAGAACAGGAGCGTATGACACACAGACAAAGATAGCTAGACCACTCCAAGTGATTATTGATGTTTCATCTTTATTCACAGAACGATCCATACTTTATTATGTTTATGAAGATCCCTTACCGGTGTAGAAGCGGCTTACGGTATACAATTATCTGTATAAGAGCATCTTACTGGTACCCAATGTGATTCCGGTTCGAGCTTTCAAGTAGCTGTCTTATAACCTGAATATTTTTATCACAAAGATACTCTATTATTTATTAAAACAAATTACTCGCTACTAATTGTACTCTTGAAGGGATTGTAGTCATCGAGCTTCTCCTGTGTTCTACTTAATAAACTTACGTCCCTCTTGTGATATATGGACGGGGTTTTTTATCCTCTATATGTTTAGTGAGTCCACTGCACAAAAAGGGAGATTTGTTGGAATGTAAAAATTATAGGGGTATAACTCATCTGAATACAATGTACAAAGTATTCTCCAACACCCTGTACAGCCGTTTAAGTACGTACGTGGAAGAAATCCTTGGTGAGTATCAAAGCGGTTTTAGGCCAGGTAGGTCAACAATTGACCAGATTTTTGTGCTACGTCAAATCTTAGAAAAAACCAATGAATTTAATATTGACACGTTCCATCTCTTTGTGGACTTTAAGTCAGCGTATGATAGCGTCCTAAGAGGTAAATTATACGAAGCCATGAATGAACTTAACATTCCCCATAAATTAATAAGGCTCGTAAAAACAACTATGAGTAAAGTGATCTGCAGAGTGCAAATACAAGGCGATATGTCACAAGCGTTTGAAACATATGCAGGGTTACGGCAGGGAGACGCGCTGGCGTGCCTTCTCTTTAATATAGCGTTAGAAAAGACTATAAGAGATGCCGAGTTACACAATAGAGGAACAATCTTTAATAAATCAACGCAGATTATGGCTTACGCTGACGATCTGGATTTGATTGCACGTACTACACGAGGACTTAAAGAGATGACTTCCGCCTTCTTGACAGCCGCACAAAATATGGGACTTAAAATAAACGAGGAAAAAACCAAAATGTTAGCATCTATTCCAAATAACAGAGATAGAGCTAGAAACGCCGAACAAAACTTCAGTATAGACCAATATAATTTTGAGGTAGTAAATAAGTTTACATATTTGGGTTCTCTCATAACAAACGATAATGACACATCTGAAGAAGTTAAACGGAGGGTACTGCTAGCAAACAAATGTTACTTTAGACTAAGCAAGCAGCTAAAAAACAGAAATTTAAGCCAGAAAACCAAACTAATAATATATCGAACACTCATCCTACCAGTGCTGACATATGGGTCAGAAACATGGACCATCTCCAAAACAGACGCAAATCTTCTGCTCGTCTTCGAAAGGAAGATACTAAGAAGAATAATGGGCGCATTCTGTGAGAATGGTATTTGGAGAAGGCGATATAATTTCGAATTGTACGAGAAGTATAAAAAAATAGCAAATGGTAGAGATGTAATATCCTTCATAAAAATAGGTAGGCTTAGATGGGCTGGACATGTGTCAAGAGCAAATGAAAATTACCCACCCAGACGAACTCTATTATCGGTCCCAGTGGTAAATAGGAGTAGAGGCAGACCACGACTGAGATGGAGGGACGGTGTGGACGAGGACGCAAGGAAAATCGGCGCGGCAAATTGGCAACGGTTGGCGATGAACAGAAACGACTGGCGAAATAGACTGGGGAAGGTCAAGGCTCAACTAGAGCTGTAGCACCACTGATGATGATGATATGTTTAGTGATGGTATTTTATTCTTGTAGCCTGATTCGTTAAGACTTGTGACTATTCGTCCAGATATTTCTACATTTCGAATTACTTTTAGAGCCTCTGTTTATCGCGGAACTGATCAGTTGCCTCAAAAATCACTAAATCCAAATATTGCGTAAAAATTGAAATCAATACAATATTGTTTATAGAGGGTGCGGCTGATAAATGGACAATTAGAAATATATCGAGAATTAAAGATAACTGAACCATGAAAATTTGAATAAATGTGTTTTGTAGAGTGATCTATTTAATGGAAATATTTTCATCTATTTCCTACTTTCGATTACTTATAACTTCGTTTTTTTTTAATGGAACACCCTGTATATTTTTCAATATATTCAATTTACTCTTAAATTTTTTTGTTACTACTTCTATATACCTATTGTGAGCCGTTTTTTGGAATTTGAGTCCTTATGAACTTGGTAGCTATTGATTCTTTATATATTTCCATAAAGACTTTATTTATTATAGCTTTCTTAGTAGTGACAGGTTCAGAGAACAGCTTATTTTTAACATATCTCCAAATATAGTAATCTAACGGTGACAACGGGTTCTTGGTGACCACAAAAACGGATTTTTATTAGCTATCCATCTATCGCTAAATATTTCATCAAGCAATGTACCGATTCCACGAATATTGTGAGCCGGTGCTCCATTTTGTTGAAACCAAATCTCGTTAGCCTTATTGTTATGTGATGCGTGTAATGCTAGTAAAATTACTTGCCGTAAATGTTGCAGTAACGCTCTCTGATTGAGAGCCATAGCATCGACCAAGTAATAGCTTACAAATATCTAGGGCATGAGATTCGCTTAGGCTGAGACAATCAGACAACAGAAATACAAAGAAGGATAGGTCTCACATGGCTGCCAGTTTGTTTAAAAATAAAGGTTTTTAATAAGTGCGTTTTACCGGTTCTTACATATGATGCAGAAACACTGATTCTGACAAAAAGAACAATAGATAAAATAAGAGTAAGTGTACACCTACATTGGAACCGTATTTCTCCCGATCCGATATCGGGCGACGTCGGATTGAAAACAAACTCAAGGTATTAAATCATAGTGCCTATACTGCTTCGTCATGGAAGCAGTGTAGGCACCATCGAGCAAAAAGACAAAAAAGGGAATGTAAAGGCAGTGGGGGCAAAAATATTGTTAGACAGTAAGTGCCATCTTGAGAGGTCACATTATAAAGAAAGAAAGAGAGTCTTTCCTTGTTTAAGAAATCAAATTTAGTTGGGTTATGTTATTGTTTGTCCCAACTGTCACATGAAATCTTATTTATATTTAGGTTTATTAACAACTATGTCACATTTTAGACCATTATCGTTTATATTTATTTAAAGTTTCTCGTCTAAGACACATTCTTTTCATGACGATTAGATTCCCTCTTTTGTCTTTTTGCTCGATGGTAGGCACTATGATTTAATACCTTGAGTTTGTTTTCAATCCGACGTCGGCCGACGTCGCCCGATATCGGATCGGGAGAAATACGGTTCCAATGTAGGTGTACACTTTCACAACGCGCTATGGAAGGATCAATATTAGGTATTACCATCAGAGATAAAGTACCAAACCTAGAAATAAGAAGAACAGGAGTCACAGATGCAATTAAAAAAATAGTCATGGCTAAATGGGCTTGGG